GCATCTCCTTCTAAACGAGAAGCATCCTTGGTTACCTGGCTGAAAAAGTCATCACCCCCTTCAACATCATCCTGCGTAAAAACATCCCCAAGACCTGAAGCCTTAGGTCCATGATGGTTCTCTGGGTCATGCTGTTCACTTTGTGGAATCAACGGTAAACCTTCCTCGAATCGAGCATCCAACTCTTCCTCTGCGGCACCCACAAGCTCTCCACCAACATATTGCTGAGACGAGCTTCCACTTTCACCAATTTCATTGTCGACGGGCAGGTCTTCGCCAAGAGTATCGGGAAATTCAGACTGTACGACCGGGTCGGCGTCCGAATTGTCCTTCTCCAAGTCATGCAAGATGTCTTGGGCTTGGGATGATGGGGGTAGGCGATCGAATTCGTCCTCAGTCGCATCTTCCCTTTGCGGTACGGCGGGAAATGAGTTTGTCCTCTCATTCGGCGGCATGAACTTGAAAGGGTCCGTGTCCGATCGCTGAAGGCTTAACTCGCTCTCATCGTCATCGTTAAAGCTTACCTCGTGAGACACGGTACGCGCAAACGAGGTTGTGCTGGAATGTTTGGCCGCGTTGCTCGTCCGAGTAGTCTCCGCTTGGGCAATTTCGTGTTCGTAATCAGGTACGACAGCATCGTCACCTTGCGCAGTCGCAGCGGGTGAAGTTCCTGAAAGATCCCACGGGTTATCCTCAGCGTCATCATGATTAAATTGGTCTAGAAACGCGCTGTCGCTTGGTTTTTGAGGCTTAGCGCCTTCTTCTATTATTTCGTTATTTGACATATCCTGAGCTGATTGCTCAATCGCGTGCTCGTTACCGGCATTCACATCTTGATTCTGCGTCGAGTCGAGCTCTGATATTTGATTGTTATCGTTATTAGTGTATGGCATCTTAGCCGGATGCCACGTCGCACTTGGGGCATCCATCTCCGAGTATAATGATCGCGAACTAGATAAGCATCGAAATGGAAAGGCCCCCGTGAAGTAGAATTAGGAAATGGTACTGCGAGATCGGGACCAGTTAGCTTCGTGATTTACAATTGTATCGTGTCATCAACAAGTATGGGACAAAGTCGCATGCCAGAAATTGATAGGGGCAAACAGCGCGATGCCATAATTAGATAGCAAGGGAATGAATGGGATGGATCGCGCGACTCATACCAAACCAGAAACCAACTCACTTATACAAGAACAACTAATAAAGACGTTTATTCTGGACTCGTTACAAGCCAAACTCCATGATCATATTTTTAAAAGGAGCAATTATCGTTATTGCATTCTTGGGGCACTTGGGAGGAAGTTGGGAGGGAAAAATGGGAAAGTTGAGGCAAAGTGGCAGATCCACAAGAGGTTACTTTGAACTTTACATGGTACTATCGTCCGTTGAGGCCAATGTTCTCATCAGTGGTCCTTCAGTGGTCCATGTACCCACACTGCTTATGCACAGCACAAACCCACGCTAGGAGGCACCTGGGTTAGCGGGACTGCGAAATAAATGACATAACCAAGATGGAATTGGAATCCGAAAAGACAACATGTCCGCTATTGTAATTATCCGACAAGTCAGCGCATGCCGAATAGGTAATTCGACTAATCGAGTTAATACTTGGCCATATACAGCTTATATCTCTCAAGCCCGAATATTATTCTGCCGGTGGGCAACAAAATCTGGCATCTCTGCTTATTCGATAGTGATTAAGTCGTTATTAATTTAACAATTACACTAGGTACCTCTAGGTAATGTAGGTGTGTACATGGAGACGAGGCACATGAGTACCCAAACATGTACATGTACGGCGGAATCTTGGTAGATGAGTACATCATGTACATACTTCCACACGTATTCCGTACATAAATGGGAACTCGACGTAAAGTACGGGCAGAACGGGTCCCTGATTCCGTGCCTGCATTGCTTCCATTCCCTGCCTTCTTTGTAATTGGTTAGGTCATAACCAGGTGGATTCTATAAAGCTTCGGCGGCCAATTAACAATACAAGCTCCAGCCCTGGAAGCTTATTTTTAGGTATCGACTCTTAGCACGGTGCGCTCCGATATCCGACTTCCCAACTCCCCGGTTCAAGTCTCTGGTTCGTCAAGCAACTCCTAAGCACTCTTTAAATCTTGATCGCCGGCGTATCCGCTGAGCAGTCAACTTTAGGTCGAACGATGAATACATAATACATATGATACGGCGATAATGAGTTATGCAAAAAAGCTTCTATTCCGGCTTATCACAATCTCATAGCTACATACCTACCTACATACCCCTTGCTCTCCCTGTCTCCGTGCTAGATTTCCTCTCCACTGCCCTCCAACGTCCTTGATTAAAACTTCAGATAAATATCAGCCCGCGCCCGTCCTACGGTAGGAGCCGCAACCAGCTCGGAGATCTTCCGAAGCCGTGCCGCGCTAGTTTCGTAGACGGCCGGCACCCCGGTCTCCGAAAAGGGACGGCCGTCCTTGATTATCTCGGCCAGCCCCTTTGCGCATAGCAACACGTTCGGCATGCCGTGACCGTCGAAGCCGGCGCAGATGTATTGCCCCGGCTTAGACGGTACGTGGCCGATGTGTGGCGCGCTGTCTGCAGAGTACTATAAATAAGCCCGAGTGTTAGTTTAAGTCGGACTATCAAGAGACGACATCTCAGTATAGCATCAAGAAAAGCTAAGACACTCACGCCCATAATCCCCGTCCAAATACTCTCCGTCTCCGTCTCCGTCCCCTCCCACCCTATAAACGTCCTCGCAGCCCAGCGGTCAAAATACGGCACCGTAGACCTGATCAGTGTCGAGTCGTCGTAATTCCTATACCACTCCTCCCTCTCATCAACAAACGCGCTCTTCCCGCCTCCCACAATGATACTCCCATCCCGGCGCAAACCATAGTACGAATCGATCGAATTCGGGCTCTCCATCTCCAGCCCGGCCGAATCAAGCGGTATGCCCGCAGCTGGCCTGTTCTGCGCATCCGGCACAACCCTACACACAGTTCCCCGCGCCGCATAAATCGCATCGTCATATTCCGGCAACAAGCCCGCCGTATACGCATTCGTCGCAAAAACAACCCGCTTCGCCCGAGTCGCCCCCCTAGCCGTCGCCACCGTCCAATAGCCCTCCTCGTCCACCGTCTCGGAAATCCCGTGCACCGTTGTCTTGGTCTGCAAATTAACCCCTTTTCCCACCGCCCCCTCTAGTAAGTGCATAACCAGCTTATACGGCCAGACCACGTGCGCCGGGTACGTGAACGCGACCTTGGCCCCGGCGATTCCCGACACGCGCTCCGCGTCGCTCGGCCCGTGGTACGTGACGGAGCGCAGGGTCGGGCAGTTGAGTTTCGTCATGGCGTCCCATAGCTTCTTGATCTTGGCGGCTTCGGCGGCGTCCACGAACACGTCGCCTGTGGTTACCGCGTGCAAGTCGCAGTCGATGCCTTCGTCGCGGACGAGTGCGGCGACGGCTTCCGCATTGGCGACTTCGAAGAGCGCAACTTGGTTCGCGGTCTGCAGGCCTTGCGCTTGCATGCGCGCTGCGAGCGCGACGAAGAGATCGGGCCGGATGTGCCCACCTGGTAAACGTTAGTGAGTAGTTATAAGATCACAAGCGAAAGTGATATGAGACTATAGGTAAAGTATAGCGTGGCAAAACTCACCGTTCCTAGCAGTAGCCCCTGAGCAAGCTTCTCGGGCCTCCAAGATGGTAATACTTGGCTTAGGTTCGTTCTCGGGGCTGCCCTTGAGTAGATAGTGCGCTAGAGCCGCACCAGCAAACCCGGCGCCGATGATGACGATGTCCTGCTTCTCGGGGAGCTCCGGGGTGCTACGGTGGGAGTCGAGATGGTGCAGCTGTGTCCGCCAGTACGGGACTGTTGCGTTCTTCACGGGAAATGGGCCGGCCATTGTAGCGACGAGCATTAAGATATTAGTATTAGAACTAGAATTAAGTATAGGCGCTTTAGTCTATGAGTTGATATCGTCGCAAAGGGGTCGTTGAGTTCAGTTACTCGCTTGCTTGTCTACTTTCGTTGCAGTGACAGTGTTGCCTATGCACTCGCCGTGAACCCAATCTTATACTCAACTCCATCGTAATAATGAGATATGTGTTCTACTTGCTTCAGATGAGTCACTTCTAGAAGCCGTCGTCATCAAATGCGCAACAGGCCGAGATATCGAGCCAGTCCAGAGATACCCAGCAATGCTGGTATAGGCATAGCTATAGCCATGGGTTGTGTAAGAGTAGTGCGCGGACTATACAACATCGTCAGTATACACAATGCATACTGCAACGCCGCCTATCTGCCTCCTAATCTCTCTATCATCATCATCATCACGATCATCATGTCCAGCGGTGGATTAGCCCTCACAAGCGACACACACTTCATAGCAGGGTACGTCAGCAAAGCTATAGTCCTAGCCTATCTCCTCTCTATAGACCATCGAAAGTGCGCGTAGAAATACGTAGTCCTACACATCTCACCTCCGGCGATGACTCTACTCTACCTCGGGATCGCATGTGGTGATTGTTAATCAATCCTATACTATACTTCTTCCCCTCTCCGGCGTTATACAGGACATACGTAGCATAGGCACCTATATTTCGCAGTTCTATACTATGTATGTAGACTCTTGGCACGATGACGATGCATACCTTTCCTGGATAGGACTGCCCATTACAGACTCTAGTAATAGGTAAGCACCCAACAAACCCCCCCAAGCGAACGCAAACTATACCTCACCGCTCCCCCAGCCCTAAGGATTTTACGGCAGGAGGTAAGGTATAGGCAGTCGAAAGCGTCCGGTCGCGCATGTGACGTTGTAGTATGTAGAAAGCGCTTCTCCAAATGGAGCCTCAATCGCATCATACATGAATGATGACGCGGCTCAAATAGCCCACGTAAGGCCCCGGTAGAAACAAACGTTTGTGAGTAGCCGTAGCCTTACGTGATTATCATAGGAAAAACGAAGATAGGGCTTATGTGTTAAACATGAAGAAATATTATATTCACGCATAAAACTAGAACTGTTCTCAAGTCCTATCCTAGCCTAGTAGGACCAGCCGAACGTCTCATTTTGAAAGTTGACGACTACACTATTATTCTCTTGAATAAATAGCCGCCCTAAGCGCCCATACCAATTTCCATATGCCCTTATCAAACCTCAACGGATGGTATACCTTAACGCCTATCGCAATGCTGCTTTAAGAAGAAAAAAAAACCCTAAAGAGCCTAAAGACCCTCTCCAAAAACCAGTATACTTCAATTTCTCTGGCGTTTATTAGAACCCCCATCCCTACCCGAACTCTCCCGAGCCCTCTTCCTCTCAATCTCCTCCTTCATGATACGCTCAGCTTCGCTCATCTTCTTCGGCTCTCCAAAAGCCGGTGCTTTCTTCGGCGCCCCTGCGAGCGCGTTCTTTTTCGCAGCTGCGAAGACGTTCTTGGGCTGAGGCTTGGCTGCCATTTTAAGCGAAATGGGCGCGGCGGCAGGTTTCGGGGTCGTGGAAGGTTGTTCTTGTGTAGCTGTTGGCTCCTCTTTCTTCTCTGCGTCTTTTGGCGGCGACGCTGATGTCTCTGGGGTGGATTTATCTGGAGAGGATGTTGGTGCTGGTTGGATAGCGGGTTTGACGCCAAAGGAGAGCTTGATTTTCTCTCCTTCCTGTCTCTTAAGCTCTTTGCCTTCCGAATTGTCGACCTCGTCCTCGTTTTGCTCACCCGCTTCCCTCTTCGCGCGCTTGATCTGTTCCCTGATTAACATGTGTTCGCGCTCTTCGTCGCCTTTATCTTGCATCTCCTTCCTCCGCACCGCCTCTTTTCGGCGTAAGGCATCCGGGGAGTCGTCTATCCATGCGATATGAATTCCCTTATCATTCTCCTCGACTCTGCAAATTCCTTCTCTTCCCAGGTGCTTTGCGAACTCGGTAAGAGAGTGCCATTTGGTAGCATTCATGTGGACATGCTCTTTGTTGGCGATGTAGTTCTGGTAAAAGTGGTTGATCTGCACTTGCTTCTCTCCGTGAGACGTTCGTAGTAGCTGTAAGAAATCTTTGAGGAACTGGTTGCTAAAGTCGTCGATATACTTCTTCGCATCCTCGCCAACTAGCAGCATCTTCCTCGTGTGAGACTCGCTTTGGGTGTGCATCTTGAATGCATTGGCGTCCCTACATTGCTTTTCGCATATTTGACAGTACCATCGAAGTCGTTGTAATCCCTTCGATTTCATTTTATTGTTTAGGTATTTCGTCGATCCGAATTCTGCTTTCGGCATTTTGGCGGTATTGGTGTGGGATGATCGGAGCTTAGAATTTAGGTGTTTGGATTGTTGGTTGGGTAAGAAAGTGTATCGTGTCGTAGTTGGAGAGATTGACGATTTGCAGCGGTGATGAATGATGAAGACTATGCGACGGATAGCGATGAAGATAAGAAAGGTCAAGTGTGGCGCTGCAGCTATTGACTTTATCGATAAAGACAGGTACCTACCCCTGCTACAGCAACAGGTGGCCGCCGAAATTCGGCATACTTGGTTGGCCTAGATGCAAACAACGAATCAACGCCCAGATTTAACCTCAGACTTACCCAGCTAGGCAAATGCTGGAAATAACCATCACTGCTTAAGGGTACCAGTAACAGGACCTGTGTATCACTAAAATTTTGAATCTTTAAATTTATGAGACCTCTTGATCTATATGTGAATATCAACGGACTGCCTAAATGAATATTGTTGAATCATCTGTGGTCTTAAACACAATTAGAAAAGACACCGGCCATCACGAATTTAAAAGCAAATTGCCTCATTTATTTAAGAGGCTCTTATTTAAACACGCTTTAAGCAAATTGACGCCTCTATATCTATCAAGCTTTTATACGTAGCCAAGCATAGGTAGCTTTAGCTCTGGTTATGGGGGCGTGTTGATGCCCAAGCCCCTTTTTCAACCGGTACACACTGACTACCTAACCACCGTTTTATAGTGACCTATTTCACAAACACGAAACACGCATGTCATGTTAAATGCGAGTATGTCGTGCTACTAATCGAGGAATGTGAACAAGTTTGTATGCAGTATGCTCATGGCCCTCGTAGCTTCCCTTGCGTCGATGACACATGAGATATTAATCTCACTTGCGCCTGTTATCGTAGTTAGCAAAATGCCCGAAGCGCCATACCACGCGTATTGTATACGTAGTCACATACCTTGCGATATCATCTCGATGTTGATGTTATGTTCTCCCAGCGTCGAGAACATGCGGCCAGCAATACCCGTCATATTCTTCATCTCTGCACCAACTAGACTTAGAATAGCCATGTTGAGTAAGATACTAACGTCTCCGCATTCTTCTAGCTCTGCCATGGCTTTTTCAAAATGGCGGACGGATGGGCTGGAAGAGTGGATGGCCATTGACACGTGAACCTCACTTGTGGAGATAAGATCCACGGATATCCTATGACTGTTGAGGATTGAAAACACTTTGGCGAAGAAACCGTGAGAAATAGAACGTTTGTTCGAGTGTACGTTGATAACAGTGATGTTGTTCTTGATAGAGACTGCCGTGGGTCTCCGAGGATGTTTCCGCAACGAGGAGTCCGAAGGCCGGGACCTCTTGATCTTCTGTGCCGGAGACTGCACTGGATCTGGAACCACGATGGTACCATTTCCACGAGGATTGTTCACATTCTTGATGCGAATTGGTATCGGCGGATCCGCTTTGATTACTTGATCCATCGTTAGGTGGTGAATGACTTCAGAACCGTAGAATGTGAGTTCTGCTGCCTCTGACGGGGTGATAGACGCGAGTAACCTCGCTGTTGGGACTTTGGTGGGATCTGCCGTGAATATACCGTCTACCTCCTTCCATATCTGCAACTCTTGGGCCTTCACTCCAACCGCGACCAGAGCGGCACATAAGTCAGTGTATCCTCGCCCAATATCTCCATCCATCAAGCTTCCAGGGACGTTGCCGAAGAAACCCGTGACTACGGGCACTCTGTCATTGCAGGCTTGTATCCTCTTTCGGAAAATGGCGGCTGCATCTTTGTAAAATGCTGGACTTAATCGGTCGGAACTGTCATAATGCATAACATCAGACAGGTCCACATACTCTGCGTCAACATGCTACAAATATTGTCAGTTAAACATTGTGACGCCTTCATGTAAAAGTCGAACGAACCCTATCTCTTAACAAGTACGTCATAAATCTGCAACTCAACTTCTCTCCAAAGCTGACTACTCGATCCTTTGATCTCGAGTTAACTTCCAAATTGAATCGCTTGGCCGCAATTATATAGTCTATTAGTTCCTGGCAGTCCTCTTCTATGCTGGACGATACAGATTTTTGCAGGTCGGGATTCTTTATCCACTTCTGCGCTGCTGCGACATGGTCGACGCAGATGTCTCGTATGACAAGCTTCGCTTTCTCGACGAGGTCCTGCTGAGTGACTTCATTACTCGTCGCTGCCGATATAGCGCGTAAATGCTTGTAAACTTCTAGTAATCTATATGAATATATCGTGTTAGATCAATTGGGCCAGTTGCCCTTTCATAAAGCATCCAGTGACTCACCGGCTGGTAGTACCGGTCACCTTCTTGCCAGAGCTTCTAGCAGAGCAAATGACGGCAATTTTGTTCGATCTTAAGCTGGCTCTTATCATAGAGTTAGTAACGTCTCGTAGAGGGATAAATTTGCAATCCCATACCGAACAATTCCTTCAGCAATCTATATTCAAGTAGGACAATGTCAGTCATACTGCATTAGGCAAGAAAGGGTCGGTGCATCACAAACGCTGTCTGGGAATTTCCCAACACTTGTGCCTCCGAACTTCTGTACTATCCAGCCCTCGCTGCTGGTATTGCCTTGGAGTATAGCGTCCATGGCCATTGTGAGATAAGAATGAATGAAATAAAATTCCGCCTCGGTGTTGATGAGATTTTATATGTAGTAAAAGCAACTGAGTCTGTATACCGAGTCTGTATACCGAGTCTGAATGATGTAAAAGTGTGTGCGTTGATGGCGGGGCAGATTCAGTGTAACTAAACTGAGTTACAATTTGAATGTCCTTTTTAGAATTGGTGATACAAATCACATATGTTTACTTCAAATGAAAGAAAAGAGAATACAATACGTAGGCAGTTGATTGGAAGAATTATGATATACTTGGTAGGTGTTTACTTGCTGCTCTTCGGGTTCAGACATAAAAATTGAATTAGTCTTCGCTAGAAAGGGGCCCCGAATCGGAGGTTCAACGGCGGTGCCACGCCACAATTAATCGGTAGCGAATGAAAAAATGGTATCCGTTTCGGGTTTTCATATGGTGGAAACTGTGGAAGCAGCATACCGGCTAATACATAGCTCATAGTTGAATTGTGGGGCATAAAGGCGGGACCCCTATTCCCTTTTTGCAGGTAGCCTTGTTCTTGTGTAATTGAGGTCATAAGTTAACATGCGTTTGAGACTTACCTTGAGAGGTATATCATAGCACCACGAAATACTGGCAACATACCTCTTCTGATTGTGACTCATTGCTTAATCGGCAGGTTGTTGGAATAGCTCTCAAAATTCCCGAATCATCTCGCTATACCTATATTAGGTAGTCATCTAGGTTAGTATCTTGGATCTGTCCGGTGCCCTATCTTACATATCATAAACCACATCTCATAACTACCATGATCGTCACTCATAAAACACGTAAGAAAAGCAGCCATAGTATAAGAATCCTTCAGAGCGCAACTGGCTGCGCGTGGACAGATGTAAATAGCTACGGGTATCATACAAGCCATGCTACACAAGTATTCGGATCTCCTATCCTATCAAAGATCCTATCAAAGTACCAAGGCGAATATCCATGCCGCCCCTTATACACCTGGGGCTAAAAGCCCTCCTCCTGACCATGCATGCATGCACTTTGTCCTTTATGTAAACAAGGACCAACTATACCGGCCCAACCCTCAAAAGCTCTTTTCCGTACCTCGAAAATGTGCGCCCTGTCCGTTACAAAATTACCACTCAAACGTTCCTGCCAGGCGTATACCCCGAAATCCTCGAACCATGGGGTCTCCTGGCTGTCTATCGTTTTCGGTCATACCGTCATACCTTCGTGTACGTAGGTCATGTCTTACCCAATCGGGCAAATAGTTAAACAACACCACCGACACCGAATATTAATATATAGTCTTCAAAACCATAAAGACTCGCGCCGATCCTATTGGACGGGTTCCTCTAAATTGAGAGAATGTAGGCTCTGGTCCTGACCCTCCTGGTAGTCGAATTTCTCAATAGGAAAGTCTTCTTCTGGAGTCCTGATCCCAATTCCGCTATCGTCGTGGTTCACGGACATGTGGAGGGAGTCTGCCCCATTGACTTCGATCTGAGACGGGAATGGGGCACGGTCCGGTTGCGGCTGGGACATATGCGAGATGCCTTGATCGTCGCTGCCAACACGCGAACCTCGAAGGGTCACGTCGTTACCATCTACCGGGGGCTTGATGTCGCCAGCAACGGGCGGTAGCGAGTTCTTCGACTTCATGAAACCGCCGTATTCGGCCAGGAACGAAACCATCTCGTCGAGCCAGCACTTTGTCACCCACCACGCTCCAAAACTATTGCTCTGGCGCATGGTAAGGTCCCGCATGACCTCTAGCCCGACACGTTGCACACACCAAACAATATCCGTCGCCGTGGCGTAGGGGAAACGTTTCTGGAGAGACAATAAGAAGTCGACCCAGCGCTCAAGAAAGTGCTCTGAGCTACCATTAGAAGCATTTGACGACGGTAACCCTCGTCTGTTGTTGAGTGCTATCTCCCCATAAAGGTACTTACACTCTTCACTCCAAGGGACGTTTACGGGGTCGATTAGGTCTCGGATTTCATTAAACAAGAGATCAACTAAATCATCCATTCCTCTGGTTGGGACGCATTCAGCAAGTTTGCGGACCCTAACCCCTGACATCCAATCGAGATACATCTGGTCTCTATTCGCAGAAATCGAAAGCATATTTGCTGCAGCGTGAGCTGTGAGGTTAACTCGTAGAGTACGGTCGAGTAGACCGGCAAATATAGTAGCGGGGGCCTCCTTGGCCTGGACTACATGCCTCGGCTGCCCATGAAAAGATTCGCGAATGTGAGAGACTAATTGTTGCGATATTTTCTCGAACGCGTTCAGTACGGGTTGCGGGATGGCTTGTAAGACGAGGCTATAGATGATCTGGATCATGCGTTGGTAAAGTACATAATCACACTCTTCTATCCACGGCGCGATGCTGGGGTGAGAGAAGAGTTTCTGCACGGGCATGGTGAGTGTACCCTGAAAAGAGGTATAGAGGTGAAAGAAAGCCTTCTCCTTGCAATAGCGAATGCACTCCACTAGGGATGTGCAGTGAGATCGGTAGAGAGCAGTTAGAGACATTGCCGCATCTGGGTCCGTTCCATTGGGTAAAAACGGCTCGATCTTAGGTAGAACGAGAGCCTCGGCTGATTTGGAAGGATGCTCAGGCTCTATAAATGCTAAGCGTATAGCAGTCTTAGCGTTAGACGAATGCAACTGATCGAGATGCTTGACTTCGCATTGGTTATATAAGCTGTGAGTTCGGGAGATGGCCGATCGTGAGCCAGCCGGGGTATCAGATTGCTGTACGAGCGTAGGTGACGGAAGAGCTGAATGTTGTGCATCCAATGCAGGGGATTGGGACTGCGCGACACTGTTGGGCATGAGAACAGGCCTTGCGAACGAGTTAGTAGCGGGTGACACGGACCTCAAAGAACGCGTAAAAGGGGCTGGTTCCGGGAAAGGAATCGCCGGCTGGATAGAGACTTCTCTGGACGTGGGCTGATCACCCAGCAGAGTGAAATCGACATAGTGGTATTTTGATTCTCCACGGACGCCGAGTCTTCGAGTTTTAAGACCAGGAAAAAGGACTCGAACAAGCTTCCCAAAACTAGCAGGATTCAAGACAGTTATTCTCTCCGTCGCACAGCGGGATGCATAGTTGGCATAAACACGGCCTCGAGGTACGGAACCTCTACCCTTCGCACAAACCCCATTGATCCTACACAGAGTCAGAGCCTATCCCATTTATACTAGCAACATCCTTTTTCAACTCTTGAATAACTTACCATAGCATAGCGAAGATCTGGCGAGCGCGCTCGGAGTTAGGTCCACGCTCATTGCCATGAAGCTCCTTTGCTACATCGGCGAGAGTACGGGTCTTATTGGCCTGAAATAGCTGGCGCATCTCAAGCTCGTTGTTCGCGCTAGTGCGGCTCGAAGTTGGTTTCGAGCCTCGCGGTCGTCCAGCAAGCGAATCAACCTCGTCGGCCTCATCACGATCCATCATCTGGCTATCGGCGTCTGTGAAACTCGCATTTCCAGTAAAGGTCTCGGTTGATACAGCAGGATGCAGGTTGGGATGTTGAGCGTACGGCATAGCAAGCCCGACGGCAGGGTGCATGTTCGAACTCATCGCGAACGACTGGTTGACCGGCATCTGGGAGGCAGGACGAAGCATCATATCTCCGGCTGGCATGGGTTGAACTGCCGATGACATATCTCTCGGGGGGACGTGATCGTTTGAAACCCACTGGTCCGTGAAAGCGCCGTGGTGCGCCATTAAGGTTTGTTGGTCAAGCGTTGGTTGTGTCGCGACGCTATGGATCGAGGCTGTCGAAGCCCTCGATATAGTCCTCTGTCTCTGGTTATGCTGCGACATTGCGCCGGCTTCAAGAGGCTGAGAGTCTATATGATAATTAGAGGACATAATAAGGGAAAGTCATGCATCGAATTGATGTGAGATCATAGTGGACACTCGGCCATGCTTCGCGGGCTTCAATAGTAAGATGGGCTTACCAGTCTCCATGTGCTTAGGGTTGTTTACCCCCGAACAGTGAGATGCGACCACAATATAAACACAGGCAAAGAAGCGGCGAGTAGCGAAGAAAAGAAACGCGCCACGAGGCGATTAAAGAAAGAATACAGAATAAAGATAAAGTGATAAAGTAGAAGCACTACTCGAGGTTAGTGCATGCAGTAGAATATTGAGTATCGCGATGCTGCGTCAGTCCGAGCGACAAGCCCTTGACGATTCTGTTGGATGAGAGGCAGAAAATGGCGGAGACGACTAGCCAAACAACAAGAAAACTCTCGTCGGGGCAACGGTGGATTGCTGAACTGTGGATGGCTGGAAATTGAGCGCGGAAGTAGTACCTAAGCCAGAAGTACGGAAGGTTACTTATTTGTGGCTGGTAAATACCTTTTAAAGAGCAGGGGTGGGCGAAGATAGACCTGGGTGGGTACTCGGATGGAAGCTACCTAAGTGCTTAAGCTTTGGCCTATGGAAGCCGCGCTAACTAACAACAAAGTTTTTATTTACATAACTAACCCGCACTTTCTCCGGTAGGATTCAATCCACAGACGCACTCCGTACCTTAACGTACCTATGTACCTAAGCATTTACCTTTGAATACTGTCCCTTGCGCTGACTACATGACCTCCTATATAGGTATGTATGTAGGCAGTATCATTAATCTGAATATATGCAACTTTATATAAATGGAGCACTGCTATAAATGAAGACATCAAATATTTTACGTTGCGTACCTGCTCACACAATTGGGTATGTGCAAGTACCTACTTAATTTCGTTCGCGATTACTATCTGCTTGGTGTAATCACCGGGCTGCCGGGCGGGGTACGCAGAATACCTCCGTAAGATACGTACCTATCTAGATATGCACGTACGGATTACATATGAGACATATTCCACGTAAAATTTAGCATAGAAGGTAGTGGACGTGTATGAGGTAATTGCTATCAGGTACCTAACATAAGACCTAACCTAGCGTATGTAGCGTATGTAGACGGATATGGTCCTCAATCCAATGAATTAGCTATTACGGTAAATTGATTTCGCAGCCGTGGTTGGCCTTCCGTCATCGTTTCCTTCGCATCCTACCCACTACGTAATTTCGTTGCTCCCCTTTCCCACAATCCGGCATCCGATTTCTTACAATACCATCACCATTATCCAGCCTATTAACAGCTTATAAAAGCATAAGTAGTCGTGTTTAGTTCATTAACCACCTAAATAACAACCTTACCTTCATCGTGCGATACCTCTTTTCTTGCATACTAGCATACCAGCAATACCAACAAATCAAACTTCCTTGCCGTAAGTCCGGCAGTCTCCGGATCCCACATCCCAGCCGCCTTGTCCCCATTCCTACGTGTACATATTAAGCAAGGTGGCTTTTCGCTAACCCTAAAAATTACCACAGCTACTTTGCTTTGACATCAGCAGCTACTCATTCCCCCGCCTCTGCGCAACTATATTGTCTTTTATCAACTTTCAAGCTCACAGACATTCTTCGAACCTTTTTACAGCTCTACGAATAAATCATAGCAAAAATGTCTGCGCAGGATCGTGTTCAGCATTATATATCCCAGCTCGACCGTGAGGTACGCCATACCGTATACCCTATTCATATATCCTATGTCCTAGCCTGTTGGGCTATCTAGATATCAGCCGGGTCGCATGCTCCTGAAGACTAACGAGAAGATAGCTTTCCAAATACCCTGCTCTCAACAACCTCGAAAAGCAGTTTGGAGTTCCTAAGGTTTATGCCGTTCTCGGCGTAGCCTCCCTCTACTTATTCTTCATCATCTTCAACCTTGGCGGTCAACTCCTGACCAACTTCGCCGGCTTCGTTGTCCCCGGATACTACTCTCTAGCTGCCCTATTCAGTACCACCAAGGCAGATGACACTCAGTGGTTGACCGTACGTTCCGTTATTGATCCGGACAAAATTTTTCCTTAGCTAACTTGCTTTAGTATTGGGTTGTCTTTGCCCTCTTCTCGTAAGCGAACAAGCTACGCGGCCCTCCCGTATCGTCCTACGTCACTAACTTATATTACAGCGTTATTGAGAGTGCCGTCAGCGTTGTCTACTGGTTCCCCTTCTACTATACCTTCAAGTTCGTCTTCTTGCTGTGGCTTTCGCTGCCCGTGTTCAGGTTCGTATTTTATTACACAGCTTTCAGCTACCTCATCGGACTAACAATATGTAGCGGCGCCCAACTTATCTTCCGATCTTTCCTACAGCCAATGCTTGGACGACACTTTTCCGAGTCCGGTTCAACCGCTGCCAACTTGCGCGCCAAGGCCGACTCTTTTGGCAAGGACCAGTAAACTAACTTATTTGATCGGGCCGCCGCTACGAGCATGGACAAGCAGAGCAATCCACGCATGCTCTAGTGGATACAAATTCGTCAAGTCGACATGACTACTGGCACTTGTCAGTGACAGTCCATGACCAGGGTTTTCCACCCTAAAGAAGAATGGAACAACTATAGTTGTGATACAGTTGGGAAATGATCTCTATCGTGTTGGAGGATGCCATGTCCTTTCCTAGAAATTGTTTCCTTGGACGATTATAGAACTGAGTTGGTTGGTGCGTATAAAGGTTAATCCGTAAATGATATTGCATTTTACCACAATCCTAAATGTCGAGGTCGATATCAAATGCCTACGACATTCGAAAGGTTGTACTCGACCTTGCAGTATGTGCATGCACGCATAATCATAACGTGATAGGGCAATTTAGTGGCTCGGCGCCCCTAGCAAGTAGGAATATACTGATGGATTATCCGAAATTTGATTATACCAATAGTCATATTTCGGACTTTGGAGCGTTTACGTAGACATTCGTCAGGAGATAATGCACAACGACTTTATAAATATAGCACATTGTGCGACGGTTTAGTTATTGGATGCTGCTAACTTGTATTAGTAAATATCCGCGCTGGTTCCTCTAGACGTCGATGTTTCGTAGCACAGGGTTCAGACATGCCGAATTTTTCCGCAAGCTCAACCACTGCGCAGACTATCGTGACGACAGATTACACATTTTGTTGGCTGAACACTATTGGATTACCAGGCTCAAAAAGAGGTCATCAGAGCTAATGCAGAATACGGTATAAAAAAATCTGCATGGCTTACCTACAATATCAAACAGCTCTGGCTTAACCTGCGCTTACGGAAGTTGGCTGAGGTATCTATAGAAATTTCCAGGTATGGTTATCGGCTGTCCAGACTTGTTTCAGGTCATCATCGCATCATGGTAGCCAGCAGTTAAGGGCCCTCGTGATGATGGTTTTAAACAAGGGATACAATGAAGTTACTCTCGACACACACATCGGAGTCGTCAGCAGCGTGGAAATCAAAATTGGCAAGCTGGCGATGATTTGAGTTGGTGGTCTTTCAAATGTTGAAAAAAGAAGAAAGAGAGAAAAAAGTCAACAGACAAAAAACATGAAAACTTAACGTCGAAATTTTTCTCGGAACGGCTCCACTTGCACCGCTCCACCGAATTAGTTACCGTAGAAGGCAAGAGCGGACAGAAACATGCTGTTGTGATCACCTGGCAATCGGCTGGCTAAATAAAACCGCCTAAGCAATGGGCAAGAGCGCTGGAGCGACAAAGGTAACGAAAGGGAGCTAGGCCCAATTTATCATACGCCATAGGATCACTGGAAAAGTTGGAACTTTGAAACTTCTTCCCCACGAATGAGCTCGCCGAATAACTTAATATACAATACAATACAATATACCAAGAATCTTCCCGATATTCACTTTACCAAAAATACATACTATACAGCAGTACCGACTAAAATTCGAGAATCCTTCTACCCACTACCTCATCCACAAACCTAAGATCATCACTTTCATCTTCTCACATCGTTAGATCTGTATACTTGAACCGCCCACCATCTCCCACTTCCCACTTCTCACCTGCACGTGGCGTATCATATTAGCGAAGCTTCCCAACAGTGTTGTTAGAAAGAACGTGGTCTGCCGAGTTTTTGAATTGTAGACGGTGTATTGGTGGTACTGGGGAGTTTCAACATACTCGTCCTACTGGGAGCGACCGACGTACGTGCTAGAAGTTCAACATGGATAGACAAGAATCGATATGGACTCGTCGTAACAAGTGAGTCCGACCTTGTCCGTGTCGAGATTCCATCTTCGTCTTGAGTACTAACTACTTCTACTTCTGTAGTGTTACCAACCTCTCTCTGTCCACGCCGAGTCAGTCCGATAATTCCACAACCCCGCGGGACTTCTCGAGTCTAGCACGTCGAAATGGCACCACTTCATCCCACGGCCGCTCGAACCCATTTGGCGCGACGACTCCCGGCGGCACCCTGACCTCTCCTACTAGCGCCGGAGGGGCTAATCAGTTTGGCCTCGGATCCGGCGCATTCGCATCGTTCGGTTCGGCCAAGACTCCCAAATCTCAAGGAAATCCCTTCGAGCAAGCCATGGGTGCAGTCGGCGCCAAGACCCCCTCCTCCGAGAAGACGGCAAAGGAAGCTATGCGATCCACCGTCGGCAAACCTTCCATGGGCTCCATCTCTGAGACGAGCGCCCAGCAGGCGTCCGCGGCATCAACACACCCTCTCCGCGACACGTGGGTGTTTTGGTACAGGCCGCCTATTACCAAGGCTAACGGCTACATCGAATATGACAAGACGTTACATGCCATGATGTCAGTCAAGACTGTGGAGGAGTTCTGGTTGGCCTATTCACACTTGAAGCGGCCTTCGTCGCTGCCCACGGTATCGGACTACCATCTCTTCAAGAAGGGTATCCGTCCAATATGGGAAGACGACGAAAACAAGCTCGGCGGAAAGTGGGTTCTGCGACTGAAGAAGGGTGTCGCCGATCGATACTATGAAGATCTCCTAATGGCCTGTATTGGCGATCAATTTGGAGACGAGACCGATGAGCTCTGTGGTGTTGTACTGAGTATGCGCAACGGAGAGGACGTGCTGAGTATTTGGACCCGTAGCACTGGACAGAAAGTCCTCAAGATCCGGTACGTCTATTCACTATAGCTCTCGTTAGGTTCTTTTTGCTTACGATTATTAGCGAGACGATGCGGCGCGTGCTGAACTGTCCACCCGAAACTCGCATCGAGTTCAAAAGTCATGATGCCAGCATGCAGCAGCGTTCTGCTATTGACGAGATGCGCCGCGAGAAGGCGGCGCAGAACCACCACGGCGACAAGCGAACTCACAACAACAATAACAAACCCCGACAGTTACAAGACGAACAGCAACGATCGTAGTGGGATCAACTATTCCGAGCCCCGCGCCGTCGACGATGAGGTGGCTTTGCTGTTAAATACTCGCATTTGCATGCATGGTTTTTCCCGCGCACAATCATTACGGTGAGGACGGTCCCGACTAGAAAAACAAGCAGCGAATTGTATTAGGGTAGAAGCGTTCTGATCAATGCGAAAGCAGGCCATTTTTTGTTTGTTACGTTATGCTACTTGGTGCTGCCTGTTGAGGTTTCGTCTCGTCTCAAACGTCTCGTCTCCTCCTCGACGACGCCCTATGTTTGCTTGCTAGCCATGACGCGAGAAAACAAAAACCCTCCCAAATGGCTCCTCCTACTTACCCTCCTTGTCCCTAAAGGCCGGATTTAGGATGAATGTGTAACTAGGATCTTCAGATGCCGATGACGTCTGCATATATGTGTGTCTATGTGTTGTATGTGTACATTATGAGGGGGGGTGTCATACGATTATGATAGGTTCTTGCGGCATGTTGGGTTTCTTTTTTATGTGTGTGTGGTTGAATGTGTCTGACGGGAAAAAAAGAAACGAAACGAAATATCTAACACCCACCCCTTTGTGGTTGGTAAGGACGGGTCCCATGAACTAGGTTATCGGGCCGTATGATTCCACGCTTTGATGTATTGTATAGGTAGCTGTATTAAAATCCAGGTGCTAGAGGCTGGCGGTGGCCTAATTACATGATGAAAATCTAAGGAAGCTAGGACTTTAAGAATCGAGTCTTCTGGGATATGTGTAGGTAGTATTTCCGGAATGAATGTAGACGTGGAGGAGGATTGTGCTATATACCTATATATGCTCGAAACAGTATAAAAGATGAAACAATCTGTTCGTGGGCTTGGCAAGTGGGAGAACGCTTCTTAGGATCGGACGTTGACTCCTAAAGGGGAAGACGTAAGCTGTATGGATACTCTGGGTGCGAACTTAAAGGGGATATTTGGACGCTTAGCCCGTGAGATGTTCCAGGCCGGAGTATAACGTAACACTGGTGATTATGTTGTGGAAGATACCAACCCCAATGTGAGTCGTTTCACTATGGTCAAGAGAAGAACTTTCTTGCCAATGGTGGTCTGGTCCTGAAGTATACCTGAAGTATACCTACCTAGGTACACACACACGCACACACATATATATATATACTCCTTTCCCCCAAGAAACTCAAAGCTCAACCAGGAAGTTAGTCCCACAAGCTTGAAATAAGCCTTAGGAAAATAACCCGAAGAGGTCCTCTACTCGACTCCTTCTCTACATCTAAATACCGATGAACATGTATAGGTACCTAATCTATTTACCAGGAGGATTCGTATAGTTAAAGGGGAGAATATATGCCCCTTACTTTTACCCTTAGTTATGTTCGTTATTATACGCGAACTTGGCCTACCGTCTTCGAAGATGGCTCGGCAAATTACCTATACTATGGTACGGGGTTCTTAAATATTCAAGGATTCCCGTATATCACGCTATAATGCAGCTCATGAATCACGAGGGTTTTTTTTTTTTTTTCTTTTTTTTTTTTTTTTTTTTTTTTTTGAATGTGAGGCAACTACTCTAGCGTTTACCTAATCGTCATATTCAACTTCCTATAGGTTTAGGTAAATAAGGATATAACCTAGTTAGTCCCCTTTACCAGAACCTCATACACTTGTCCAAGCCTCTATTACGGACTTTCAAAACCTGGGGCAAGATATTATAAGCAAAGCAACTCAATTAGAAGCCTACCTAAGCACTATAATGATTGTCCTATCAAGCAACTGCAACTGCAAAGTCGATTCAACAAGTTCTATCAAGAATCAAGGCACAAAGACATAAGAAAGAATAACAACAATTAATCATCATAATCGCAATGGCAACTAATCACAAACATCACGTCACGTCACCGAAGAGAAAAAAAGAAATACACTGAAATCGAAATCAGTTCGTTCCATGTCATTAATTTTGACCTTGTCCTGTGAACTCAAAAACCAGCCGTCCGTCCGTCCAGAATCCCCCCTTACCAAACCGGATCTCGCAAAGATCCCCGCCGACGAGATTTTGCAATCTCAAACACAAAATGTACAGTAGATGTGGGCTTTTCCTTCCGTGTTGCAAGAAAAGTAAAGCTTGTATGGTGTGTCCGCCATTGCTTCTGGTAGTGCAATGTAATGCAATACAGTAGTACCTCCCCCTTACCTAGGCCATGCATAAACCCCTGAACAGAAGAGGAATCTTCTCCCACGCATTGGTATCATAACGCCACTCCTCTCAATGTGAATGTGCTGTGCAGAACTCAAAAACAAAATCACAAGGCATATGCTGGTAGAAGTGCCCATTGCTTGACGTTCTTCTTCGCGCCCGGGACACTAACACGGTGGGCGACTTTGTCCAACGTCACTTTCACTTGTGTCTTCGTACAGCTGGGGAACTTCTTCGCCAACATCTCTATAATCGTTCCCTTGGTAAATTCTTTGAGCTCATCGCTGATGATAGCTTGCCTGAACTCATCAAAGACGTCCTTCGGAACTATGTTCTGGTTTTCTAATGCCTGGAGAGAACTGCCCGTACTCGAAGCAAGCGCCGAAGCGCCTGTGGGTACGTCAGGCGGAGGCATAGATGTAGGAGGAGCAGGTGTAGATGTAACTGCGCTCTTCGTTGTGGCTCTCTTCGCAGGAGCTGGCCAGTAGGAAGTTGAGAAGGGATCAATTCCTGAGTGGTCGAGTGTATCTGTAACTTTGTTAGTCCAAGATATCAAATCGTTAATTTGACAGAACTCACCTAGGAGGAACTCGAGTTGATACTTATACGTGGTAGGACAAGGGCCGAGTCTCGTCTCGTCCTCAAAACAAATACCAGTACTGACCGGCTCCTTTTCACCAAGGAAAGTTGGTCGGGCCGTAGTAGGTTGATCCTCAGAATCGTCGAGGAAGTCCTCCATTTCTCCATCGCCATCATGAGAATCGTCATCGTCATCTTCATCGTCTAGGTCTTCACCGTCGTCTTCCACCCATTCTGCCTCAGAATCATAGTCGTAATTCAGTGGGAGGGCTTTCCCGACGGGTCTACGGGATATGAAGCGGAGTTTCGTGGCCTCGATAGGCGTAGTGACGGTTCCGAAATACGGTGGTCTGACGTCTTCGTAGAACGACAGGTATTTCGTTGTGATAGCGTTGAGTCGTTCTTGAGCATTTTCAGCTAGTTTTTTGGTCTGCGACTCTGTTTTTGTACCCGCCTGCTCAGCCTCGCTGTGCAAACTTTCCATGATGCTCTTCACGCTCGGCGGGATGATACCACGCTTTCGCGTGAATGCTAAGTTGAAGGTTTCCGTTGGGTTGAACGGCTTAGGGTTGAATTCGCCTCGCTCGCCACGAATGTACTGGTCCAGAATTCTAGATTTGATATCTTTGGTCTCGTCGTCCATTTCAAACGGCTGTGGAGCTAGCATGACGTCGGGCTTAACGAAGAAGGGCTGGAATAATCGGTCGTACGCCGACTTCTCCGACTTAGATTTAGCTTTCGGCGAGCTGTCGGCGGCATCGGATTCCACAGAAGGCTTCGCGGTTTGCTCGGCAGCCTTCTTCGTCTTCGGGGGCGCATTGGCAGCTCGCTGGACGAAACCCGCCAGCATGCTTTGCTGTCGCTCTTTTGCTTCTTCCTTTTTGCGCTTGGCGGCTTCCTTAGCAGCATCTCTTTTCTCCTTCTCAGCTATCTTCGCTGCTTTAGCTGCCTCGTCGGCAGCCTTCTTCTTAGCCTTTTCAGCCGCCTCGGCTTCCTTCTTCTGGCGTTTCTCAGCTGCTTCGGCTTCTTTTTTGGCCTTCTCGGCTGCCTTCGCCTCTTTTGCTTGACGCTTCTCCTCGGCCTCCTTTTCTTTCTTAGCTTTCTCAGCACCTTTAGCCTCTTCCTTCTCTAGCCTTTCTGTCGCCTTGACCCCTAATTTCTGCCGCTTAGTGGCGTTGAGCTTCTCCTCGATGGTTGACGGCTTTCGCTTAGCTCCTTGGGCTTTTTGGGCTGTAGGCGCGGAAAGAAGATCCGATTGTGTGGGCTGAGAAGCTGTGCTTCCCGATGCCGAGGGAGATGATAGAGGTGTCTTATTCGGCGAGAGTGATTTTCTCATTGCTGGACTGGACCCGGCTTCAGTTAAAGCCGCGGGGCTGCTTCCTGGGGTCGCATCCATTGTCGCCATCAATGTAGGCAACTCTATAACATAGGCATTAGCCACTATGGCTGCCGGGTACAGCATAAAAGACAATACTTACGCGGAGGGTTGATAGCAGGGACGGACATTTCAGCAGATTTCAGCTTTCCTAGGTTCTCTGAATGAGAAGGATCTCCAATGGCAAGCTGGCTAGGAGTGTCAACAAAGTCCTCGTGTGTTCTTTTCCTCGGTGTTGTTGGTGACTCCTGAATATTTGGGGATATCGAAAATAGAGGCATTGAGGTAATTAATTAAGGGCGGGCTCTCCCTAGCACATTACAGGTTAAGGGCAATAGGCAATAAACTAGCAGTCAATCTAAGATCAGGTTGATTATAGAATGAAGACTGGAGAAGTTTAGATCCAATAAAGAATCGCAGGCAAATGTAGACAGTCAAACTCAGCAAGTCTCTTTTGGAGACAGGAATATGCGGTAGTATGAGGCTTCACCACATTGTCTTGGTTAGAAGTCAATTGGTGAAGGAGTGGTTGAGTTGAGCGATTGTCCAGGATTAGCTGGTGGATCAACGCGTTCAAACGCGAAAACCAGGGTTGCTAAGGAAGGAAACGCGTCGAGACTGGCAAATTGAATTACTCCATCAAGGCTAGCGTTTATATAGTGTGGAGTAAATGCCATGTTAGCGCGTTCGACTTGGACCGTGCCTTTTATCGGATATGGATGTGGACCGTGCTCTCTGTCGTACCTTCTTGAAAGAATAGCGTATATACCAAATATCGCCGACATGAGGCAGACGCAGTAGGTTGGGTACCTTGTACAAGTGTCTATTCTGGCCAGATCTGTAAAGATCGGTAGGTGTACCTGAGAAGGTGCGATGTAGTCTATGCAATTTGATTGACCCAAGAATCATGGTAGGTACTTTCAGAGCTTAGAAAAATGTTGCAATTTCAAAGTACCTTCTTAATGTATCGCACTTTCTACCTACACGTAATTGAGCATGCGTGCACAGACCCTTTCGCATTCTAAGTGGTGGGGTAGTAGCGGCTGAAAGATACTGTTTGCTAATTGGATCGTTGTTTCCTGATTGGCCTCTTTCTTCCCTTGCCCTGGAATTCTGCCGCACTTGCTTTGTTTGCTTTGTTTCTGCCCCACTCACCGCCCTCAGAAATGGGTATAAATAACTGGCCACCCTCCCCGAATCTTAGAATTCTTTTCCTTTTCTTCTTCATACTTACCTTGTTCCAAGAACCTTCGCTCAAGCATGAGGGTTCTTAAGGGGAGACGCCTGCATTGCACAGCGCGGAGCTGACCCCCTTCTATTATCCCTCGTGGATCGTAGGGAGCGGAATTTTTGCTTTTCACACATCTTTTCATTATGACCGGTGCCTTGAGCAGCGGCATGAGGAAGAGGAATCGTTGGACGTGTAATATCGATCTCAGCCTATTTTGAGTCATCTTGTAAACAGTGCTGGCAGTTGGTCATTGATTTTTTAAACATAAAATTTCGAATGAAGACTTGTTGCATTCGGTGCATTTTTTCCTGATGTATATCAGCCATCCATCTTATGCTTCGCGTCTTATAGTATCCGACAAACGTGTAATGTCCTTACATAGGTACCACCTATCTAGCAATATGTAACGTTTAGCTAGCATGCTTCTACGTAGTAACTAGCATATATCATCATGAAGACGACTATGTAATGTGCATATTCGATCCATCTCCAATCCATACTTCCTCAAATCGCAAGTCTGCCCTTGTATGCTGCGATATTGTTTCTTATCGATAAGGCGACAGCTGACTACGGGTTCTGACGGGCCGATCCATAAATCTACTCAATTAATCTTTCTATCCGAATTTTCGACATCGCGAGAAGCCTCACTAAACCCCGCGAGAGCGAACGACCACAACCGCCTTCTATCCGCCGAAACGCCAATTGCCACCAGCCCAAAACCAGAGTAGGGCCAATCGGGCAGGGGATCTATGCTTGGGGAAGGCAGATAGGAAGAAGAAGCATGAAGATACATTGAACCTTAGCACGCCTCGGAATACACATACACATCTCTCGTCGCTAGCAAATCAAATCAAATCCGCCTCGATCATCTGTCCTCCTCCCACGCAATGCGGTCTTTCGCTCTAGCCGCTCTGCCACGAGCTCGCGGCGCCGGTAAACATGCTTTAACTTCAACAACCGCATCCATACAATCGCTAGCTACACGAAGGTCCGTACAACAATCCACCAGTCCCAACATATATTTATATATTTATCTATTTTCCCTCTTTCTCTCTAACCCTCCGTAGACAATTCTCCTCCCTCCCCACGCTGCGCCCCACGCTCCGCGCGTCCCCCGGATCCATCTTCCGGTCTCCCACCTCCACCTCCAACAGCCTCCTCCAATCCTTCGCTCCCCAACCCAGCGCCGGAGCGGGAGCAGCAACAGCAGACCTCGTACCCAAGACCTCCCTAACCGCGCACCCGTCGCTCTCCGGCGCAGCCCAGGTCCGTTTCGGCCCGCGGCCGACGATGGCGCGGACCAGTCGCTTGGTGCGCAAGCGGCGTCACGGGTTCCTGAGCCGCGTGCGCTCGCACAACGGGCGCAAGACGCTGCAGCGGCGCAAGGAGAAGAAGAGGTCTATGCTGTCGAACTAGGGTCGTCTGTGCTATGCATGGCTCCTTGTGCCGCGCCTCGCTAAGGTCTGGGGTCTATACGCTGTATCCGGACACGCGGGAGACGACGCACGGGATGAAATGACGAGCTTCTATGAGGAATTCGTGACGGGGATGCTGGCTAAATCACGAGTGGGAACTGGTTCGAGGCCCTCATTGAGGACGGTGTAGTAGAGGAGAGAGCGTGGGATGTACTATATACTACATATAGAACTGTATATTCTAAGAACTATCTCCAAACCAGGGACCCCAAGATTCAACCGGTCAAAGTAGTCTTTAACCTAGTATATAAGTTTGTTTGTTGAGTACTTCGTAGTCACCCTCTTCCCAGATCCATTATCAGAGGCATGCTACTTTAACCTCCAATCCCAAATTTATAATAGCTTTCAAGAGAATAAGTGATATATCTCTAACATACGAAAGTCTAGTCTCACGAGAAAGCTCAGACTGATAGCTTCAAAGGGTCATTTAGGCGTATACGACCCATTCATTCATAACGATACTAGAAAACGCGTAGTTACAGAGCCTTATAGCTCTATTAATACCCCGTCCATCTCCCACCCATCTCCCCACCAATCCACCATTCCCATTCCCATTCCCATCCCCAAACTCATATCCACCATCACCGTCTCATTCCCCAGCCGCAAATCTCCCGCCCCCTAAACGGGACTCTCAGCGCCCGTCTCGCACTCCAAGCTATCCGAGTAGCACACCACCGGCAAAGCATCGCTCGCCTCGCCGACCCAGATCTTGAACCTCCCATCCGGCTTCGGCACAACCCAGTTCTGCCGCCCCGTGTCCCAGACGCTTAGGTCCCTGCGCGAGAGGCTCAGGGACAGGGTCTCGCTGTGCCCGGGCGCGAGCGCGGCTCCCGTCTTCGCGAAGTCGCGCAGCTGGATGACGGGCGTGTCGACGCCCGCGTCCGAGGGGAACTGCACGTATGCCTGCGCGACGGCTTTTCCGGCCGTCGTGCCCTCCTTTGCGGTATTCGTCACCGTCACCTGGATCGTGTACGCGACGTCCCAGAGGGCGGGATTTCCGCCGCTGGGGCCGCCTGCGGGCGGAACGTCTTCCTTCTGCACGCCTGAATAGCCCTCTGGGTACGAGTACTTCTCGTCGCCGGCTACGCCGATTTTATATGCGGCATCAGCGTCACCCTTAGATAGCCACGGGTAGAGGTACCGCCAGATGCGGTCAAGGCCGTCTGGGAAGTACGCTTCGGACGCAGCGGGGATGGTAGTGTTTAGGCTAGCAAGAAGAGATGTGGGTTTGGCGGGCCGAGCTGGTGGTACTTCGGACAGCTCTGTCACGCGGGTGATGGTAGCGTTGGAGAAACTGAAAGACGCATAGCTTAGGCCGTGACCAAAGGCAAAGCGCGGCTTGATGTTCTGCTTGTTTAGATACCGGTAGTCGATGTAGAGGCCTTCCGAGTAAGTATCCTGCGTCTGACTGAGAGGCGTAGCTACTAGGTCGAGGCTATCAGGGTAGTCGTCCTCGGAGACGGGAATGCTGTACGGTAGGTGTCCGCTGGGTGATGCCTCGCCATATATGATCTCGGTTAATGAGTCGCCTGCTTCCTGCCCGGGAAGATGGGCAATGAGGACAGCTTTAACAGAAGGAAGATCAATCCAAGGTTCCACAACGATAGGACCAACAGTGTGGACAACGACGACAACATTGCTGTACTTCGCGGCTGCTTTCTGAACAAGCTCGTCACCATTGTGCCAAGCTTTCAAACCGGACGCATCGCGGTCGCCATGGTTGCCTTCGACAGTATATGAATTTTCCCCGGAATCAGATGTGAGGAACACAACGGCAACATCGTCTTCAGTCGGCGCTGGGACGGACGGGAAGCTATCTGTAGCGTAGTATGTCACGTTGGTTGCTTTTCGCTTGAACGAACTGATCGGGTCATCTATGTAAGGGTAGTTCGCGGATCCTGAACCCCATCCCATACCGAGCAAGCCTCGGTTGCAGCTCTTGTCTGTGCACGAGTTGATACCTTTGGGATCAGCCTGAGCGTCGGTGCCAAATACGAAGAGGGGCGCCGAAGTTGATAGCGGAAGAAAGCTGCCGTTATTCTTCAGTAGCGTAATCGCCTCCTGGGCCACTTGTTTAGCAACGACTTTGTGATCGGCTTGGACATTGACGTATTCGTTGACGACACCGACCGGAGAGAAGAGTGCACCTGGATAAAGTGGTCCTTCGCGATCCGCCGTATTCGAAGAAAAGTTGGGAGGAGGATAGTCCTTATCCTGGCCAAGCTGATACCACGTAGCGACGACACGTGTAGCCATGTCGTTTAGTCGGTCAACAGGTACGGAACCATTTAATACTGATCGTGTAAGCTCGTACATCCAATTCGAATAGCCATCGAGCGGTATGTTGTTGCCAACTGTATCTCCAGGCATGGACATGTCGAGGCCGGCGAGAGCAGACGCCACGCCTGAAATCTGCGCAAGCCAATCGGTCATGACAAAGCCTTGGAAGCCAAGTTCATCTTTCAAGAGGCCATTCAGAATATAGCTGTTCTGAGAGGCAGCAGATCCATTGATCTACAGCTTAATTAATAAGACCCGCCCAGATCAAAGTACAATCGTAAGCTAACGTACCGCATTATAAGAGGCCATTATTGAGCCGACTCCAGCCTTCACGCCATCCGCGAACGGCCAGAGGTATAGCTCGTGCATCGCTCGGTCATCTACGACCCAATCAGTCTCGTAAACTAGCAATATTTTTTTTCCATATACACCTACCGATATTCGAGCTGTATGCTTGCTGTACTGGGTTGTACATGCGGTAAAGCTCCTGCTCATATCCGACCAAATGCTTCAGTGTGGCGATGACTCCTTGATCTTGCACGCCTTTGATCGTCTGGGCTGCGGAAATACCTTGAAGTACGGGGTCGGATCCGAAGCCCTCCCAGTTTCGGCCACCTCTCGGCTTCCTTCCTAGGGGTCCAACATTTGGTCCCAAGTAGAAGTTGGCTCCCTTACCTCTGAATTCCTCACCGATGGCGACACCTCTTTCATATATCAGATCCTTGTTAAACGTTGCCCCGGTAGTGATGCCGGCAGGAAAAGCAGTGATGTTGTCTGTTGTGCGCACGCCCAGGGGACCATCTTGTAAGCATAGCTCCGGAAACCCCAACCGTGGTACACTGCCAGTATTTCCAACACAGCGACCTAAAGTCGTACGTTAGTATTTAAAACGTTACTTGGGGTAGTTCTGATTAGTTATCGTACCCTAATCTACAGTCAGCAAGAAGCTCTCGTATAAGTCGTGCATATAATCTACCATCCAAAGACCAGTACCAGCGGTTAGGTTAACTTTCTCGGCCAGTGTCATTTGCGACACCAGCTTGATTGCTTTTTCGTAGCTCTCGGACCAGTCATCGGCCCAACCGCCGTAAGGGGTCGGGTAATACGGGGCGGCGACGAAGCCCTCCGGGACGGGATCCCGGGGGAGTAATACGGAGGCTGACGCCGTGCTCGCGAGCAAACATAACGAAAGGCTACGGAGTCCTGAAGGGCACCCCATATTGAAGATTACCATTATTATAATAATTATGCTAAAAAGAGGATAGGGTAATACGGGCTTCCCTAGGTAATTAAGCGTATATATTCGCAGCACTTTAAAAGTGCATCGCGGACTCGTGAACACGCGAGCTGTGTGGCTGGACAGGAAGGCAACACCATTGTCACACTCGTGATTGGCGATTGCCTTAGATAAATATATGAATGACAGGCAGGATGATCCAGGTACGGGGCACGGGAAGCTTGCATTTTCGACGGTCGAAGCCGCTCAGCCAGCTTGTCTAGCTTGCCTATCTTGCACAAAACATGGTTCTGCTTGCTGTACGAGGCATGCAGGTCGCTCTTCGGGTTCGATACGAGCGGTGCTCTCCTTCCTATTCATTACTATGCCGAACCAAGATCTTGGGTGATGCCGGCATATCCAGCATACCCAGCACATGGTTACTCGGCATTGAGCTCGAAAAGTGGATCAGGTCAAGGAATAATCTCCGTATTTCGCTTTGCTTACGGGCTTTGAGATTTGGATCACCAGCTTGGTAGGTAAGTGCTAGGCCAAGACATGTTCGCGAAAGCTTCTTCGGTCCATCGACCCGGACGACTCGATAATGACAGCCGGTTTATTCAAAGGCAAAGGCCTACATAGGCAGGTAGTCAGGTTGTGTAGCATGCAAAGACGTGGTACGCGACTTTGTCACCCGCATACGACGACTCAAATAGCGGTCACCTCCCAGGTCCACCGGTACCAGCACCGACGAAGTAGAGAGGCTTGACAGACACGGCATCGCATTCCGGCAGCCATCATTTAGCATCTGACCTTGTCGGGCGGGCTGGTGACGTGTTGCGAAGCTGCAAGATTAGAGCGACATGGGCCACTGCAGCATAGGTGCTACACAACATCGGGGAAGCAATCTCGATGTAGATTTCAGCTTCCGATGCTATACTCAAAGTGGCTATAAAATAGTAAGTATGTTCCTGGAATATCTCCACGATCTAGGTACGATTATCGTATTTCGTATTCCACATTGATTATGATCAATTTTAGGGGAGATTCTTGGACTAGATATGCGTTTGCATGCCGAGGATGTGACACTGCATAGCAAACTGAGAAACCAGGGAATCGGGTGACGGCATAGGCGGAGAAATCCTATAGGTTAGAAGTGATAGTTTAATTAGGGAACTCCATTATTCCTTCAATCCTTCCCGGACTTTTAAAAGTTGGTGCTATCTCTAGTGTATCTCGAAATCTTCGCAACCATACCTTTTTAAGAGCCTTCAATCGTCTTTTACCGGGCGAACGCGTAAGGAGCAATATAACTTACCTGATATGCTACATTCGATTAGAACCGAGTTGATTAAGTTATAATAACAACTGAATTATGAATATGTATAAGTTAGTAACTGCGCTTATCAACTAATACGTTAGGTAGTTAATCTTAATATGTAGTGTTGGGAGTGCAGCTGTGCGCTAGCTGCGCGCCGGCTACGTGCTAGTCATGTAGTACCTTACGTAACCTATATGTGAACATATATAGGCGTCGTCTCCTTAGAACTTAGACTTTCATATCATCGTTAATCTACTCTATCTCTCTCACTGCCATTGCGCACCCATCTCTGACCTTAGAAGTTCTAACGTTAGACCTTGTCCACCGACAGCTAAAATGTTTATACGATCCTTATCTATGTAGGACATAATGATAAGCACTACCTATACTGAAATTACTATACCTATAAGATTGTCGTTATTGTTATTATGCGTTTTATAGCAATCCTTGTGCTTAAAATATTGGTGCTATTGTTGGGATCACAGTCACCACAGTCACATGACTGGGGTGACTATCACAATATGTGTAGTATAAGAAGGTTGTATTGTCCAAGTTACTAGGAGGGATGATCCAACTTAATATATGTGGTGTACACACGTGACAGTGACACTGGGGTCAGACTCACACACACGCGCATACCCACCCACATAAATGTAAATAGAGATCCCTCCCACTTTCATAGATCTTCCCAATCAATCAACCAATCAGTACCAATCGTTTTCAGTCATTTCATACTCTCTATTTCCTTACGTAATACGTGTATACACATCTGGACCTTGTCACTCCAACAGCTATGTATTAGGGAGGACTATCTTCGCGCCTTGCAAGTCTTTCTCAAAGTCTTGATTTGTTAATAAGAGGTAGAGTATAAACCTATCTCGCCGGCAATTGAGGACATAATATCGTCTGTCAAGTTACCCTCCCGCGTCCCTATTAAAGGCCCACTACCTACCTAATATGTTGTCTCGACTCTCTTTGACTCATAATATCTCATTACTCATTTCTCTTCTTCCTTTGAGTAAGTTCCGAGTTAATAATGTTGAAATCTTAACCTGAGGCATTTGAATAATCCTGTACCTAGCGACCGGGTAAACGACTAGATTACGTATGTTGGAACGTGTGCTGCTAGAGTTGCATACTAACCAAAGCGAAATACTATTTTGGAGGTTTTAAAGATTTTAGACAATGAACCAAGCTCAAAGTATATAGAGAGGTATGCGCGGTCTTCGCAAACTCAGCCACGTTCAAGGAGATTGGTCGAGACGGTTTCAATAATAAGGTGTTTCAATAATAAGGTTCGTTGCATCATGTCTTTAAGGGGCTTTTAGTAAGGCAAGCCACGATATAAGGTTCATCCAATCAAGTGCCAAGCATGTGTCTGCATGGGTCCGCATAGGCGATTATCCTTGCACGTGTCACAAACCTTAAGCACCTACCCAGAATGTACATAGCTTCACGTGGGCAAAGTTGATCTATTTGCGTCTGTTTGTGTTGGGGAGCGATTAGCGAGGACGTAAGAACCTTAATAGGATTTAAGCTATATGTAGATTTAAATCTTATAATCCTTCTTTGATACCCCATAGCCCCTTTAATGTCTCATTATTCAATGTCCTATTCCAGACTAAAGATCTTGTCAGTGTCACCATGTTTCTACTACACGACTGAACCGTTGGGATGGCTGACTACAGTGTATTCCCCGAGATAGACGCCATATGCGAGCGCTGAGCTTCTATGTATGTCTTGTAGATATTCTCACTTCGGGATCAAGCAGCGAATAAGAAGGTTAGAAGCATTCCGATTCGGGTTATTAATCGGTCGCTCCATGGATGCTCTAGCGACCAATCAATATCCTTCACCGCCGCGGGCCCCCAAGCTTCCCTAACCACCACCTCAAACAATGCCTAGAAGGTCCTGCGTATAGGGGCCGTTTTCCGATTTCTAACCCTTCGGACTACCCAGCGCTGACTCACCTGTTACTCTAAAACATGGGGAACCTGGAAGGCTACCGCGTACATACTTGCGTTGCTACCCATGCACGGTACCCGTGCTAGACTTGGTATGGCTAGGATTGTGGCTCAGGAAAGCGTTTCTAAACAGTTGAAACCTCCAGATCGGAAAAGAGTTTCTTCATGTTTTAAACTCGGGCTGTTAGGGCCGACTTAGCCAAATCGAAACACGGATTCTCCATGTCTCCATGTCTGTACAGAGTAACCTACCTACATAGGTAGGTATATAAGATCAATATGGGAGAGAGATCGGCGTGTCTCGAAACCACACGCTGACATATATTCTCTCTCCCTTACCATAATAATAATGATAATAAGTACAAGACATCCACACGGAATACACAAGTTTCTTCTCATATTCTCTAATCCTATCCCAAGATGAAGCGGTTTAGTTGCGTCCTAGCCTCTGCCTTTGCCTTGCTTGCTACTGCGAGCCCGGTTCCTGCTACTCACCTTGAGATTAGCAATGGCAGTATGTCTCTTAAAGATTTTCCCAAGTGGAAGGTTATGTTAATAGATAAACAGGTTCGGTTACCGCGGGCGACATTTCGACCTTCAAAATATTCGCTCAGTATTCCGCAGCAGCCTATTGCAACAGTAAGGTAAAGCTGAATTCCACTGTCACTTGCGCCAATGACGCCTGTCCGGATGTCACTTCTTCTGGTGCTAAGGTGGTAGCGACCTTCTCGTAAGTCACTGACTATCATGGCTATTACTTCAAATCATAGGCGTGAAAGGGATATGAAGAAATAACATATCTGGCTAACACTTTATAAGTGGACACCTCACTGATATCCAAGGCTTTGTCTCGACGGATGATACCAATAAGCTGATCGTGGCGTCCGTAAGGGGATCTAATTCGATTCGTAATTTCATTGCCGAGTAAGTTTATCGTCTACGATACTTTAGTGTATATATCACGAAGGATGTGTCTAACATTGATATAGTCTCGTTTTTATACCGTTGCCCTGTGACCTCGTGGACGGCTGCTTAATCCACAGTGGCTTTTTCTTGTCGTACAAAGAGATAGAAGACAAAATGCTGGACGGTGTAATGGCAGCTGTACTAGCCAATCCTTCTTACAAGGTCGTCTTCACGGGACACTCATTGGGTGCAGCTGTCGCCACAATCGCTGCCGCCTATGCCCGAGATATGGGCTATAAACTCGACCTCTACACCTACGGTAGCCCGCGCGTAGGCAACCAGGCCTTTGTCAACTTCGTTACAGCCCAGCCGGGCGGTGAGTTCCGCGTGACGCATCTAGACGACCCGGTCCCACGTGTACCTCCCATCTTCGTCGATTACCGACACACTAGCCCGGAGTACTGGTTATCCGACGAGCACGGCAATAGCACTCTATACGCACCCTCGGATATCAAGATATGCGAGGGTTTCGCGAACACCGATTGTAACGGCGGTACCGACGGACTGGACATTCCTGCCCATTTACTCTACTTCAGGCACATCAGCGCATGCGGTCTAGGCGGTATCGTTCTCGAGGGCGCTCTCGAGGGGAGAGGTAGCCGGAGAGACGTCTCGGACGAGGAAATACTTGCGAAACTCAACGACTGGACGGCGAAGGACCGCGAGATCGCGGCGACGCTGACGCAGTAAATTCTTTTTTTTTCGCCCAGGGCTTAGTCCCATCCTCCGGTAGGATATTTTGGTTTTGGATATGAAGCAGCGCGACGCTGTATTCTGTGGGATTCATTTACACGGAGATGGCGTAATTGGTCATATTTAAGGATTTAAGATCTATCTGGGATTTTAGACGGGTCTGAAGTGTGTGTTGTACTGTACATTATCGTATACCCTGTATATAACGTTTCTTTGAGCGTAGATTTTATATCCATCTAGTTTAATTAGGTATCTATATTGGTATATAGCCCCGTGATACTCCTTCTCTTAACTATGGTCTATATCATCTAGCCATCTCAAAGCTTGCTAGCCGAAGAACGATATATGCATACGATTACCCAGCAACATCCAAATGAGGATCCTTCCCCTCCACATCCTCCGCCTTCTTCACCTCTACCTCCTCAGGCACATACCGAAATCCTAGCTCCTCCAATGTCTTGGCCTTCTTCCCCATCTTCTCGAACCGCATCTTCGCCTCGGCGTAAATGCCTCTTTGCCAGAGCATCTCGGCGTCCCAATGCGGCGGCTCCTTCCCCTTTTTCTTCTTCCCCAAATCCGAACTTTCTTTCTCCAACCATTCGTGCAACTCGTTAATGTACCGCCCGTCCCCGCCCTTGGGGAAGACGTGGTACTTCCCCTCGCTGGTCCCCTCGCCGTCTTCGCGCGCCCATTGCTCGAGGACGGAGACGGGGGGGAGGGGCAGCGTGTTCGACCATAGACGTGCTAGGACGGCGCCTTGGGACTCGGTGAGCGGGAAGGGGATTACTTTTATGGGGAGCCCGGGGAAGGCGAGGGTCGGGTGCGTGATGTGTAGGAAGTGTTTGGCGAGGCCGTGGACTTGGCGGCCGTTGGTGACGAGGGGGATGTTGGGGAGGAAGGGGAAGGTGTAGAGGTATCCCGTGCAGAAGAGTATGGCGTCGATATCTGTTTCGATTCTTGTTTCTCCCGTCTCTTTGTTCTTCTTTTCAGCGCTATCGTCCTCATCCCCGTCAAGGGGGAAGAACTCAACACCCCTCTCCTCGATCAAAAATCTCTTGATCTGCCCGACCTGCACGGGGTTTCCAATATGTTCGAGAGTCTCGGGGGGCGCAGCCGTCTGCGCCGAGAGGATTAAGGGCGTCTTGCACACGCGCTGGATTTGCGCCGCGATGTCCAGCCCCGAGGCGCCGGTTCCCACGACAACGACTTTCTTCCCGCGGAACGGCTCCGCGTTGCGGTATAGCTTCGAGTGCGATATAACCCCCGGGTGCTCGGCGTGGAAAGCAGCAATACCCTCGACAGAGTCCGGGATATACGGTGTCGAGTAGTGCCCCGACGCCACGACCACCGCATCGTACGTCTCCGTGGTTTCTTCCCCGGTAAGTAAATCCGTAGTCCTCACATCCCACTGCTCCCGCTCCCTCGGCTGGCCCTCGACACTCCGTAGCGAAACATTAGTGACCTGCGTAGAGAACTTAATCAAATGCCGCACGTCCTTCGCGTACTCAACCAAGTACGCCTGTACATCCCCCCTAGTCGGAAAGATGTCGCAGCCCTCGGGAAACGCCAAGTCCGAGTACTTCATCAGGGTGTGCGGGATATTCGTGTGCAAGTCATCGTACATCGGAGACGGAAACAGCGGCACCCTCTCCTTTCCCTGGGGGACATAAACCGGCGGATCCGGCCTCCTAGGATGCGCATCGGTCTGCGGCACAGGCAGCGCCTCAGCGGGCCGCGGCACGGGGCTATAATTCCACACGCCGCCTACCTCAGCCTGCTGCTCGAAGACGTCGATGCGCGGGAACGCGCCCTCTTGCGCGAGTAGATATTTCGCAGCCGCTAAGCCGCTGGGCCCGGCGCCGATGACGGCGATCTTCTTTACGTCGAACGGAGCGGCGGGCGTGGCCGCGGAGAGGGATGATGAGCCCATCGCTCGGGACGGCTGCGGAGTCGGAGCGGGGCGTCCGGGATGGCGTGCGGAGAAAAATGGATATGGGTATGAGAATAGTAGGGTGTTTTTAAAGTAACGGCTTGGCTGTGCTATTGGGGAAAGCCTCCACGGATATGGTAAATAGCAGGGTTGAAAACTATAGTACAAGGGAAAATGTGTACTAACACGACGAGGCATAGGCGATATATAAATCGAAGAAAATATTTCAAAGTAATCGAATGATTATCAGGTGGATCACACTTATGAGCGAGCAAAGTCGATGGCGCAATTCTAAGCTACGGTTATCTACGGCGTGACTCTCCGGCGCCACAACACTACACTTCGCATATCAACTTATATATACCTAAGGTACCTTAGGTAGGCAGTAATTATAGGGAATCATTCGCATTGCTAAGCTAGCATATCGTGCTCCAAGGTATCTAAGTTAATAACTCAACTGGCCGACTACCTGGATATGTACACGTTTGTTGTGAGCCATGTAAAGCACGCGGAGATTATTGACTCGCAATGAAGGATTATTATCGTCGACACCTTTTTGGTGGCATCATATGTGACATGCTCGTTGATTGACGACGGCAGTGTCCCGCAAGAAAAATCACAAGAATATCAGCAAAGCAAAGCAATTTCCTACCGTAAACACTTTAGGCTGGCTATGCACCATAATTGATCGGATAGAATGACTTGTTTTCAACGCCTATGCTTCACGTAAATGTCGTCGTAAAAACCAGTACCAGGGCCAAATGCCTCCAACACCAAACGCCAAATGCTTAGAGCCGTGCCCTGCATTACGCCTGGTATCTTTAATATGCGTTCAAGTCGGGTATCTTAAAAGGAGGATAAACACATCCGATTCAATCTTCGGTACCTTCGATGATCATCCCTATTGCGTTCGGGACACCGACTAAGATTTTGCCTCTAGGGACTCGCACGTCCTTCACCTATACACGCCACATTGTTAGTTACATCTGGTGTCAAGTGTCGCATAAGCGTGATAGTAGTATGGGGGGAGGGGGGGATCAAATAGAGGCTGGGACGTGACACTCATCCACTCATTCTATCAACATGGACGGGAAAATAATGGACTTACCTTCATGCATCCAAAGACATTCAGTCTCTTTAGACTGGGACAGCTTTTGAAGATCAGCCCAACGATCAGATCTGTCACCTCCTCGCAGAAACTGATCTCCAGATCTAAAAGATCAGGATAGACCTTTCCAACAGCGAACACATCTTCAAACGCCTCACCGGATATGTGTCTGCATCCGTGGATGTTGAGCTTTTTCAAGAGCTTGCCCGAATGCTTCATCAAGGCTCGGAAACCGCCCGAGCAGAAGCCAACCATATGCTGGTTTATTCTGGGGTTTCCTGCGTCGATATGACGGCATAGTTCTAGGTCCACGAATAGGAGGGGTCTGTTCTTCCAATCTTTGAAGAGCCTAACAAAGCCTGCATCGGTCATGACCTCACTATTTGTGATGCGAAGCTTAACTAGTCGAGCGCAGTGTTCATGGATTGCATCAAGCAGGCGATCGTCAACAGCAGGGACATCTCTGATAGAGAGGGTACGCAACTGGCTCCCTATCTTCTCTACAACATTGACATAAGGCATCGTCTGGGTCTGACTGACAAGACGCAGACCTAAGTGCTCGAGCTTATGAAGCTGTGCAATATGTTCTATTCCTTCGTCGGTGACTGCTTGGTTGTGGCATATTTTCAACCGGGTTAGAGATGGGCAGTACTTGCGTAGAGACTCTACAGTGCTGTTACCGAAATGACGATCTGTGAAATAGACTTGGAGACTTTGAAGGCTTTGTCCCTTCGCCTTTAGGTATTTATCCCAGCTTTCATTGCTGAGTAGGTTCGCGCCAGATATGTAGAAGGCATCCAGAGCGAAATGTCTTCCGATCAAGTACTCCATGACGTCATCTTTGAATTGGATCGCGTTGCGCAATTTGAGGGTCTTAAGATTGGAGCAGATTTGGAAAATTCGGGTGTAGTCATCCGAGCCTAGGCGACCTCCATCATAAATCATGATATCCTGAATTTGGGGCTGGAGGAATAGATCTAGGGTCTTAGGGCTCATAAGACGGCGCTTAGACAGCTGTCTGGATATGCGATCAATAGCAGGTAGAGGTAGATCACCGAGATCGTCAGCAAGGTGAATGTTGTTAGCTAGGGTCTCGACGCAGAGGGTCATCAAGGTCTTGACTCCGATTTGGCCATCCAGTATAAGGCTCTGAATCTTTCTTCGTTCACGTCTAGTAGGAACCGCGGTCGCTTTCTGCTTGCCTTTCTTAGAAGCGCTCTTAGCAGCATTCTCTTCTTTGGTTAGCTTGATGCTACACTGGGCACAAAGCAGGCCTCCCTCCGGACCGGCACGTGAATACGTGGTTACCGTGAATCGCTTGCCGCACTGCTCACAGTTCTCAAGCTGGCCGGGCACGGGAGCTGCGCTTCTATCAAGTACCTCGTCGTCGGATTCGTTGTCAGGGGCATTTCGGCGCGACTTGCGTTGTTTGGATGGCTTGGAGTTCTTGATTTTCTCAAGCGCCGCAACTGCCTGCTTCCGCTTTCGGGTCGTTGCTTGACGGGTGTTTGCAGCCACTGAAGAGTCGGCGTCGTCCTCACCATCTTCTACGGTTTCTGCGGCTTCTGCGGCCCCTGCGGATTCTGTAGTTTCTACATCCTGTGTTGTTGATGTGGATGCGACGGCTTGGTCTGAGGCAGCAGTAGCAGCAGCAGACCTAAGGCGAGCCTCGTGATTAGCGCGGATTTGCCTGGCCGAAATATTCTGGGAAGCCAGATAATCTGTGAGGGCAGATCGAGGCCCCCGAATGTTTCGCTGCCTGGGTTGAATTGTTAGTTTTGCTTGTGGCTCTTATGGCTAGTTAGACAATCTGAAGTCACAGCTTACATCTTATCAACTTGGGAGATGCTCTGAAAGGGCTCTGAAAGGACTCCAAAAGGAATCCGAAAGGAATCCGAAAGGACTCCGATTAAGGCCTTATTAAGATCTATAGGTAATGCTTGATGCGAAGCGACCGTGAATTAGACGAAACGATGGTGTGAATCCGGAGTTAGGCTGAGCCTCGTCTAAGGAATGTGCGATGGAATAGCACGGGCGGCAAAAGTGAATGTGAATGTGAAAGTGAATGTAGTACCTAATTATTAAGATCTCCCTAATGACCTAGAAAGGGAAAAACCTGAGTAAGTACGTAGGTGCCGGAAACTACGGATCTTCTCAGCCCCCTATTCAGGTTTACCAGTCAGCCAGTTTTGATTATGTGCTGGGGTCTGGTAGAAAAGAAAAAAAGAAAGTGTATTGACTCATTGAACAAATAAGATAGCTTGATAGAGCAAAGAATTAACACACGGTTGACGCCGCCTACTGCAGCTAACGGCGCGTTAAGTGGTTCCGTTTCAGGCAGCGATCTTATCAGTTTAATTGCTTTTTAGCGTACCTGAGGGGCAGTGGCGGGCCCTTCTTTCCCGCTAGAGTCGGAGAACCGGCGTACCTGCAGGGGCTTTAAGTGCCAGCTTTGTACTCCTATTGGCCAGCCCATCCAAAGACCCTCCCTTAGTTCCTTCCCCCGGGGCGATCAAGTCACGAGTTTGCGTGTATTGGTCGCGCCGGTAACTTACTAAGACCCACTTCCTTCTTTTCCTTCTATCCTTCCCCACCAAAATCTTTATGCGCCTTTCTCTCCGGTCTGGAATCTTTCTCATCTTCCCATCATCAATGATCAACAACCCAACCCGATCTGGCGCTACTCTTTAGCGCTCTGAGATCTGCCATTGTTGCTCGGGGCCTGTGATACAATCTTTGCAAGCAACCCCTAGTGAAATATCCACCGGGTTTCTTCGTTAATAATTGGAGTAAAGGCAAAGCTGACTTATCCTTTTTTTGCCTGCCTATTTCTTACATGCAGCCCTCCAGCCCACTTAACCCAAACCTGCCTATTCACCATTTCCTTCACCATTAATTTAGGTAGCCTCACGTACGTGACCTATACGTATATGTGCTAACCGCTCTTTTATTCCGTTGACTATCATTCACTTCTAATCATAATTGCATACTCTCACATTTGCGACACCATGGCGCCGCGAACTAGACGTTCGAAGGCTGCGGGAGACAGTTCTGCAATAGATGGCGCTGGGGGTACTCCTGCCTCACAGCCTGCCCTTCCTCAACGACGTGGAAGATCCTCCAAAGCCACCGCTATTGATGGCAATTCAACCTCTTCTGCACAGACACCAGCTACAACTGTTTCGGATAGCGAGTATTCAACCCCAGCAACTAGCAATGCTGTAACTCCCGCGCCTTCTATAACTAAAAAACCTACTCAGCTGGGAAGTAGGAGTCGGTCGCGCTTGGTCGTTGAACTACCCAAGCTCCCTAAAGACTCGATTGCAACAGGCACAAAGTCCAGCGGCCTTGGCTCTTCGACTTCATCTAGAGTCTCTACACGTCGCCGACCTGCCCCCATTGCCTACACTGAGGAGGATTCGGAAGATGATATGAATATGATGGAGGCACCCCGTGAAGATCCTGCCCCGGTTAAGAGTGGTATGGTTCTTGGTCGCAAGAGACCTAGTGTTGCGATGTCTCATGATTCCGGCGCTGAAAGCGGTTTTACTTCTTCGTCAGTTCCAGCTTTCAAGAAGCCAAAACTTACCGACCCCGAAAGTGATGATGAGCCCCACCAAGACATTGATGATGAGGAGCCCATTGACGACATGTTCGACATCTCCAGTGCAGAACTTCTTGATGAAGATAGTTCGGAATCCGACTTTGACGACCCGACTGCTAATTCGCAAACTAATTCGCAAACAAATACGCTTCCCCCCCAGCCCCGAAGCTTTCATCGCATTCGCGGTATCCGTGTTCGTCATCCCCTAAATAGAAAAGAGGCGATGAGGAGGAAACTGACGAGGCACCATCCGGAGCTCACTACAATGTGGGATGACCTTGAAAACATGCCCATTCTCAAGGCCGATAAGGCTGAGCAACCCGCCACCATCTCGCGCCAGTTAAAGCCGTTCCAACTCGAAGGACTTGCCTGGATGAAGGCTATGGAAGCAACGAAGTGGAAGGGTGGTCTACTGGGAGATGAGATGGGTCTTGGTAAAACAATCCAGGCAGTTTCTTTGATCATGTCCGACTACCCAGCGAAGATGCCGTCGCTGGTGCTGATGCCACCCGTCGCCTTGATGCAATGGACATCGGAAATTGAGTCCTACACAGATGGGAAGCTGAAGACCCTGGTATTTCATGGTACTAATGCCAAGGCCAAGAATTTGACAACCAAAGAACTTAAGAAATTTGACGTTATCTTGATGTCTTACAATACCCTCGAGTCGCTATTCCGCAAACAAGAGAAGGGTTTCACGAGGAAAGAGGGTACATATAAGGAGAAGAGTGCTATCCACCAGATCAAATTCCACCGCGTGATCCTTGACGAAGCTCACTGTATCAAGGTAGGCCTACAGAATTACAGAATCCCTCTCTACCAGCCCCCATACTAACGGATTGTTAAAGTCTAGAAATACCATGACTGCGAAGGCATGTTTTGCCCTCAAAGTTGAGTACCGCTGGTGCTTAACCGGAACCCCTTTGCAGAACCGAATTGGAGAGTTCTTCTCGCTGCTTCGGTTCCTCAAGGTTACACCATTCGCGGAATATTTCTGTAGAGAGTGTCCTTGTTCTAATCTTGAATGGTGTGTAGATGAAATGAAGAACTGCTCACATTGTAAGTCTCTACATGAATACAAGAAACTAGGTGAAGTGAATTTGCTAACCAGTTTTAGGTGGTCACTACATGATGTCACATATTTCAGTCTTCAATCAAGAACTTCTGCACCCTATCACTCGCAACGGTAACCGCGGCGAAGGCAAGGAGGCCCTTAGCAAACTCCGTCTCCTCACGGACAGAATCATGCTTCGCCGTCTCAAGCGAGATCATACGAATGCTATGGAACTCCCCGTCAAGGAGATCTACGTTGATCGCCAATTCTTGAGCGAAGAGGAGAACGACTTTGCTAACAGTATTACGGACAACAGTCAGCGCAAGTTTAACACCTACGTAGCTCAAGGTGTGCTGCTTAACAACTACGCCAATATTTTTGGTTTGATCATGCAGATGCGCCAGGTCGCTAACCACCCCGATCTAATCCTGAAGAAGAATGCAGAGGGAGGGCAGAACGTGATGGTCTGCTGCATCTGCGACGAACCTGCCGAGGAGGCGATCCGATCCAAGTGCAAGCATGACTTCTGCCGCTCGTGTGCGCAGCATTACGTTAATTCTCAGGAGGCACCGGACTGCCCCCGCTGCCACATCTCCCTATCTATCGACCTCGAGCAGCCTGAGATTGAACAGGACGCAATGCTCGTCAAGAAATCGTCCATCATCAATCGCATCAAGATGGAGAACTGGACATCGTCGTCCAAGATCGAGCTACTTGTTCACGAACTCCACAGGCTGCGATCGGACAGCGCCTCGCACAAGTCAATTATCTTTTCGCAGTTCACCACGATGCTCCAGCTGATCGAATGGCGTCTTCGACGCGCCGGTATCACGACGGTCATGCTTGACGGAAGTATGACACCAGCTCAGCGACAGGCTTCGATCGACCATTTCATGAAAAACGTCGATGTAGAGTGTTTCCTGGTGTCATTGAAGGCGGGCGGCGTTGCTCTGAACCTTACAGAGGCGTCGCGAGTCTTCATCGTCGACCCGTAAGTTGCTTGGCCCTGATCTATCTATGATAAATGTGTGCTAACTATATTTCTCTTGTGTAGGTGGTGGAACCCGGCAGCAGAGTGGCAGTCGGCCGACCGATGCCATCGTATCGGACAGACGCGCCCATGCATCATCAAACGTCTCTGTATTGAGGATTCTGTGGAGAGCCGCATAGTTTCGCTACAGGAGAAGAAGACTAGCATGATCAATTCAACTGTCAACTCGGATGAAGCATCTCTAGAAGCTCTCACACATGAAGACCTCCAGTTCCTCTTCAAAGGAACTTAGCTTTCCCCCCCTTCGTTGTATTGGCGCCACATGTGTCTTGGCGACGTCACCCATGCCCTCGGGGGACTCGATTTTTGCTTTTTTGATTTGATTTTTACTTTTTTGAGGATGTCAGTTTTCAGCTCCGACGATCTCAATCTCAGTCTGAGATTCTCAGACCTTCAGAGACGGTGGTCTCACGGCAACGCTACCTCTTGACAGCTATGATGTCAATTTCACCCTTGAAAACTATAATTCGTCTTATTTGCGAAGCCGTCATTTTTACGGACAAGATGACCCATGACGAACGTTTTTATGGACAACAAAATTCCTTTTTTCGACTCGGTACCAAGCCTGGGTTCGATACACATCCCTGATTCGACTTCTCTTACCTACCTCTGGGCAACATTAGTCTCACTTTGACTAAGTTGTTCCAGCCTTTGACAAGAATTATTCTTCGTTTCGACTGAGATCTCGGGTTTTACCGTAATTTCTATCGTTGTTTTGTACGATAGGTTCGTACCAGTGGCACAATACACCCTTTTATGGCAAGTTAAGGGAGGCATGATTTGGCCCCTATATTAGGGATTCTAGGGCGGCAAAATCGTTGATGATAACCCCTCCGCATAAGTTTTTTTTCGAGGTGGACGACGCATGGCATGATTTGTGAGCAGGTGTCTACGGTTGCTTTTTGCTGCTTGCTGCTTTTTGTTGCTATCTTCCTAGCTAGGTAGCTATGACTTTGATTCACGAACAATACCAGGTAATTATGCATTCTCATAAATTATGAGATTGCTTCTCTCAAGCATACCTAATATCTTCTTCATGCATTGCTTAAAGTGAAGTTAATTATACTGCCTAACTGCATTAAACCGACAGATTAAAACCAGGTACCAGGTACCAGTAGTCCCTAAATTACCCCACTAAGATTTTGATCGGTGTTATATTGCATTTTTGCCGATGTTTTTTAATCATCCCACTCAAAAAATGTAACTATTAGTATTTACCTAACGTAGCAACTTCACAAGTACATACTTGATGGGCCAATAACATTCTGTCGCAATTACAAAAGACGGGAAGCCTTTAGGTCATGAAGAGCCGCTGGGGGGCCTTGAGCCGGCAATTGTCGACAGTTAGGAACGGGCAAAGGGCGCGCATGGGGTGGATATGTCAGTCATGTAGAAGCAACAAAGCCCCGCGGAAGCTATTCACCAGCAGCGCAACCCTCAGAGAGCTCAAGGACAAGCCGTATTATGTGACGACACCCATTTTCTACGTCAATGCGTGTAAGTCATGTATCAGTAATGTGTAGCAGTTCAAGTATGTGCTAACTAGTTGATCCGGAAGCTCCTCATGTCGGCCACCTATATAGTATGATAATAGCAGATGTGCTCAAGCGATGGCAAGTCCTCAAAGGCAAACAGGCCATACTGAGCACCGGCACCGACGAACACGGAATGAAGGTCCAGCGCGCGGCTGAGCTGCAAGATATTCACCCGAAGGCGCTGTGCGATACCAACTCCGAAACGTTCAAAGATCTGGCCAAGAAGGCTAATATTTCATACGATTACTACATTCGCACGACGGACCTGGAACATAGGGATGCGGTCGAATACTTCTGGGCTAGGTTACGAGAGAGCGGGTATATATACGAGTCCAAACATGAAGGGTGGTATTGCGTTAGCGACGAGACTTACTACCCCGATTCTATGGTCGAGAAGCGCGTGTCGCCTGTGACGGGAAAGCCGTTTATGGCGTGCATCGAGACGGGCAGTGCTGTGGAATGGACCGAGGAGAGGAATCACCATTTCCGGCTGACGGCTTTTCGAGATAGGCTGCTCAAGTTCTACGCCGATAACCCGAATTTTGTTGTCCCCAATAATCGCTTCGCCGGGGTGATCAGTTGGGTCCAGAATAATCTAGAGGATCTATCTATATCCCGGCCTGTCAGTCGTCTGGAATGGGGTATTCCTGTACCTGACGACCCGAGTCAGACCATCTATGTGTGGGTTGATGCTCTGATTAACTACATTACGGTAGCGGGATATCCCGTATGGCCACCCGGTTCCGAACACGCCAAAGGTTGGCCGGCCGACGTACACGTGGTCGGGAAGGATATCGTGCGTTTCCATAGCATCTACTGGCCCGCGCTGCTCATGGCCCTGGACTTACCCTTACCAAAGTGCGTCCTCAGCCACGGCCACTGGCTGATGAGTCGGCAAAAGATGTCTAAATCAACCGGAAATGTGGTGAACCCTTTCTTCGCCCTCGATCGCTGGGGCGTAGATACCATGCGGTATTTCCTGATATACAACGCTGCGATGGCCAACGATGCAGACTACAGCAACGAGTTCATCGTCGATAAGTACAAGAAGGGTCTACAGGGAGGTCTAGGTAATTTACTCAACCGAATTACCAGGTCGAAGAACTGGAGCGTGAGGAACGCGGTGATATCTATGCACGCGAAGAAGTCTCATTCGGTCCCTAAGGTGGTTGATACCCAGAAGAAATACCTGGAGTCTATCGTAGAGCAGGTCTCAAGCCATATGGATGAATTAAATCCTAGCAAGGCGTTGAAAGAGATTATGGAATTCGTGTTCGAGGTAAGTCCCAGGACCTTTATTGCCGCCACACTCTCTCGTCTTCACAGCAGCATCCTAACACGTACTACAGGTAAATAAATTCCTACAAGAAGCAGCACCCTGGGAAAGGAGCAGGGAAGGCGATACAGCGGCCGTAGAGCAGATCATCTTCTTCGCGGCGGAGTCGGTGCGCATCGCGGGCATTCTGTTACAGCCGTTTATTCCGGAGAAGTCGAGCGAGCTGTTGGATAGGCTGGGTGTTAGTCCCGATCGGAGGACTTTTGAGCATGCGCGACTATTTGCAGATGATACATATGGGACGCCGACTATATGGCTGGGCGAGAACGCGCAGAGTAGTTTGTTCCCGCCGATTCCTGTTGAGGATTAAGCACTTAATTGTGGTGGACCGGCCTTGTGTATATCATATATAAAATGTGTAGCTTTGGATATGTATAGTTATTCTGTAAAGCTGAGATAGATACCCTAAGGCATTTCCCCTTTTCACATGCATTGAACTTTATACATGGTAGTGGTGTGATGATTAGTTATGCGCAATTGAGGCTATGGTTATGAGTAGGGCTGAAATATTTTTATTATATACATTTACTGGGAACTCTAATGACCTCGTTGCGATAATAAGATTTGCAATTCATAAGATATCTTCTATTTCGGTGATAGTTTAAGTTCTAGGCTATTAAAATAAACACGTGTGACTAAGATAAAATAATTTGCGCCTCACATCATTCTACAACTACAATTTCTCATTTCTCTCATCAATTATAAGTCGTGAGTATAAGCTATTAAGTTAAACTCATAAACATATAAAAATATGCGACATCGACCATACATATAGCTGGGTTAATAAGTCCAAATTTATCATAGAAAATGAGGTTGAATGAGAATATTGGTGAGTTCTACCTTATCTTCTACCTTGGCCGCCCTACTTGGGTCCTCACTCAATCCGAATAAACAATCGCTAACACATATTTCCAACAGCCATCTCGACCAGCAGGGTCCTGCTCGTGCCGTACGACGCGCACCATGTACAGCAATACCACAGGTGGATGGAAGATCCCGTATTCTCTCCCTTTTCCCCTTTCTTAGCAAGAGAAGGGTATACATAGTGTACCCGCTGACAACAGCATCTAGTCTATCCGCGAAGCCACAGCCTCGGAACGCCTCTCGCTAGACGAGGAGTACGAGAACCAGGCGTCGTGGCGCGAGTCGCGAGATAAACTCACGTTTATCGTGTGCGCGCCGTTGCCGCGCGATGGTGATGATGGTGATGTTCCGAGTACGGGCAAAAAGGGGGAAGCCGTGCTGGCGGGAGTAGGAGATGCGGTAGACAGGATGGTGGGGGACGTTAATTTGTTTCTGAGCCCTTGGGATGGCGACGATGAGGATCAAGCGCAAAGGGGAGACGAAAAGGAAACCCAGACGTACTACACGGCGGAAATCGACATCATGATCGCGGACCCCAAGTTCCGGGGCATAGGTCTCGGCCGCGCGGCCGTCGCTACGTTCTTGTACTTCGTACGGCGGCATTTGGACGGTATCCTGGCCGAGTACACGGGCTCCCTCGACACCTCTGCCGCAAAGAGCAAGCCTAGGTTGAAAGATGTCGTGGCTAAGATTAACGCTGATAATAAGGCTAGCATCGTGCTATTCCAAGCTCTCGGGTTCAAGCAGAGAGGCGAGAAGAATTACTTTGGCGAGATAGAGATGGTGTTTGAAGGGTTTGGGGAGATGGAGGAGTGGGAAGAGACGAGCCCTTCTGTGATGGGTGATACGTATAGGGAGTTGGTTTATGATAGATCGCGGCTGAAGGGTAGAGTAGACGATGAGTGAGCTCTATGATATAGATGTGAGATGTCACGGGTAGAGATCTATTGGTATATGCATCTTATGTATTATTTATACAGGTGACTCCCCGATGGCGAAGAGCGGCTCCCAACTCTACCATATATACCTACCTACCCCTTCATCCCAATACCCTAGGTATAACAAACAAGATACACACTTCTATTTCACACCATACTTCTCCCCATAACTCCTCAACATCTCCAACGTAACATTCACCCCTCCGCACACAATCACAACCACATTCTTCCTACTCCACTCCTCATCGCTAATCCCCTCCTCCCCCTCTCCTCCCACAACCCTCCTCAAATCCCCATTATACACCGTCGCAAGCGTAGCCCCGCACGCCACCTCCACCAACATCCTAGCGTCGTCCGCAAACCTCACCGCCCCCATCACCGCCTCCGCATCCGTCACCACCAAGCTCTTCAGATGCCCCGCCGCCTCTTGACTCCACCGGAACGTACGCTCCGAAACCCGCGGCGCCCCCAGACTCGTCGCGATACTAGTAATCCCCGCCAGCGTCACCAGCGCTCCCGCCTTCACGCTGGCGTTTAGGCTATCCGCGCCGACGGTCTCGACGGCCAGGACGGTCGGTTCCTTTACCCCGACGTCGGTGTAGTGCTTCCGCACGCCGGCCATGATCCCGTTGAGCAGGCCGCCGCCCCCGCAGCTGCACGCTATGCCGTCGACGCGGGGTACGCCGAGTTGCGCGGCCAGCTCGTCGACGATGGTGCTGGTGCCCGCCCAGATGTCCGGGTGGTCGAAGGGCGGGACGTAGATGCCTGTCGGGTCGCGCGCGAGGAGCGCGGTGCGCAGGTGCGAGTCGGCGAGGGCCCAGTTGGGGCCTACTTGGTGGACTTGGGCGCCTAGGACTGCGTTTGGGGGAGGGGGAGGTTAGTTGACTGTGAAGTTGACTGTCTCCTTAACGTAGGTAAATTTTTGAAAAAAAAGGGGGGGGGGGCTTGGGCTTTGAGGTAGCCCCTTTAGAAATACCATGGCTGGCTCTAAGGGGTAAGCTAGAACATAGGTATCTACTGCTGAATGCAGATCTTCAGGGGGGGGGGGCAAGCCAGTGTGTGAGTAAGTAAGTAACTCACGTCGTATCTTCTCAATCATATACTGGGAAGTAGTCGTCGGCACGACGATAGTACACGGCTGTGCGAGGGTAGCCGCCGCCGTCGCGCACGCCAGGCCCGCGTTTCCGCCCGACGAGCAGTAGAAGTGCACGTCACCGCCGGCCGGTTTCGCGAGCATCGCCTGGTACATCATGTTTCCCACGGCGCGCGACTTGAACGAGCCTGAGGGCTGCAGGTTTTCGAGCTTGAGGAAGATGTTGCTGTTTTTTTTTCTGTGTTAGTTTAAATTGGGCGTGAGAGTAAAGGGGTTGGAGAGAAGGGGGTCCTGACCAACCTGCTACTCGCGAGAGAGCTATTGATGGTATACATGGTGTCTCTATGAAGAGCTTCTGAAGCTCTGGGTTGCAGGAGCCCATTTCGTTGGGTTTATTGGCGATAAATGCCAGATGAATATATGTGTAGTTAGGGTCTTTTGGAACCTAATTGTTACGTCTTCTTGTGTGTCTGGCTTAATAACGGTGGTATCTAGATTGATGTTAGCATTGCTTCCTCTGAATTATATGTTGTGATATGTCGTACCTATATCCGTGGGGTGTTTAAATTTTCTTAACACTACAGCCAGTAACTTTTCTCTCTCAGAATCTATGTAATAAGAGTCTAGTTAGTTAAACAAAATTTCTTAGATACTCCCAAGGACGAGTTTAGTCTATTCCACCACCGTTTATAAATCCCTATAAAAGCATTATACTTTCTCTTCCTGTATCGGACGAAGCTATACGCAACATGACATTAAGGCGTACCCGTGATTGCGTCCAATGGGAAGACGGGGAGGGTAACACCGCAGGTCCCGTCGATAAGGGTCTAATGCAAAGCTACGGGTGCCCGCTTAGGGTTTGTGGAAACCACGGGTACCCGAAACTGGGGAACGGGCTCGGCTACCGTCGATTGCCGATGCTGGCCACCGTTATACATAATCGTTACCTAAGTGGTTACCTACTACATCACAGTTTATATTGGAGTTTTATATCGTGGTGTTATTAGCTGCTGCCACCGACTAACACTCTTTTTCATATGTAGTCTTTGAAGAGTTTAGCTTTGCTCCCATAGTTATTCGAACCGTAAGCGACTACATTTACGTCCGAAATTATGCTCAAGAATCATACCCACACATGATAACGGCGAAGGGGCTGTGCATGGGTTACTACCTTATGTAGATACTTGCAAAGGGGGAGGCGAGATAGGTTTACTTTGTAGTATCCCTTTACAATCAAAAACAGATGCGCTGTGTATGTTAGGTAGTCATTTTAGAATCGGATGGAGTACATAGGTGCTAATACATCCAACAAGCTTCCAGATTCATAGAATAATTCTTAAAAGTTATATGCATTTTCCCATGTGGCATGTTTCAGGGTCGCGACAAGATTAGCCAAGCCGGTTTCAAACTTACAGTACGTACCTCATCGCTTCGGTACGTCTCCACAACCTAGTTTAAGCTTTGTCCTAGCCCTTTCGATTCAACCAATCATATTTCCAGTGTTACCAGATTCGACAGAAGGATCCTTGTTCAGACTCCCATTAATGCCTGCATGTATTGTACATATGTACATAGACCCCTAATCCTCTTGAGTACATGTAACCAAAAGGGGTTATTAATATCTAAGGGCGGCCGATGAAGCGACAAACGGGGCTGAGCTGAATCGAATTTAGTAGATCGGACTCATGTCCCGCTTCTTTTACAGCACAACGCGACCCCTAGACCATCCATTATGGGAAGGTATCGGGCTCAAATCTGGACTATCCCTGACGATCTGTCCGAAGCGCAACAAAAATATGAAAGTTGTGTGTCCGAATATCTCTTCGTCTCAATATGGAGAGCGAAGGGACCAATTGGCTCTTAAAATCGCCCTTTTCGACTGTCTACTATGGTCATGTGCGGAATATGTAGAATAGCCTGAGATCTGGATACCGAACACCTCGTACTGGGCTCTAATATGATATAAGTATCTCCAACGATGGATCCTGATACGATAGTACACCACGTATGTTAGCGTTCTATCCGACTTTTACTCTCCCCAGTTTCAGGTGGGCCATGGGACCAGACCGCTGTCCTATATTAAGATTACCCGTAGAAATAGACCCCTTTAAGCTGGTCGCCGTATATGTAGATACCGCTCCCCTGATTCTACAGTAGCTACGCCCATTTCTTTTTGCCCTGAAAAAAATAATACACGCTCGCCGAATAGAACGATATCCGAAGCCAATCGTTATTTACGATCTAGATCGACCATGAAGTTTGCACTGCCGTTCGAGCTCGGCATGCTTGCCTCGAGCATATTCGCCTCAAACACAACCACAGTATCTCCGTCCGTCTACATCCTAAGTACGTCGCCGCCTGCGACAGTCGCTCTCAGTAAAGCCTTGGACACATTAGGATACAGTCGTTTGGACCTCGAATCAGACATACTAGACCAGACAATATTATCAAACACCTATGTCGAAGTAACGTCCAACATGCAGCTAGCAGAGATCGCTCGATCGCAACCCGATGCCAAGTTCATACTACCCCGAGGCAGTCGACATATAGGCGAAGAAGACTACATACTTTCGGCTCGGAACTTCTTCTCCAAGGAGAAGCGTTCTCGCAAGTTCCTAGAGCTAGACGTGCTTGCGCTGAAGGCGAGTTCGCAGGCGGAGAACTGGGTCCAGCTGTGCGACTTCTTGGGTATGGGATACAGCGTGGTGGAACGACTAGGCCTGTGGCAGTTCCCGAAATAAATGCCACGGCCTGAACCTACAAAAAAGAGATTAAAGACGATGATATTATAGAGTCGACTATAAATGTCGCTCCAATATCCGGGCACCTATGTGTCGGGTCTGAACGTATTAGCCGTTTGAAAATAGCGAGGGAAACGCGAGGATTACTGGTTGGTAGAAGGATAGGCGCAAGGTCAAGATATTTTGCGACTCCAATGCAAGAAGAGGAGGAAAGAATAGCACTACGCTACCTAGCGTTGATCTAACGAACGGCTTATACCGAACGAGCAGTCGCTACGGATCTTTAATCGCGTTTCCCGCGATTATAGCAGTATATACTTCAAGCGTTAGAGCTTATTAGCATTGAATATACTTACAAGACTATTTTAAGACATTGAGCGCTGTTGAGAGTCTTGGATCCAGCTATGTTCTAATGATTAAATATAGTCATCATCACAAGCATATTACTGGCAATTAATATTTCAAACTGCTGTCTAAATGCCCCCTTACGTTTGTTTGTTTAACTTATAATTGAAGCTGTTGACTGATACAACTGTATAACACTACTGGATTTACTACGTCATATTTCCTTTAATCCGTGTCTTAAAGTTCTCAACGGGGAGTTGGATAAAAGATACAGGCGAGGAAAGTGCAGTAGACGCTACTGTACAAGGTTGTTTAGATCCAAGCCTTAGACTCAACTTTAAAACTATAATCATGACTTCTAATCGGGATTTTCATCTCTAGCAGGTTTGTTTTCTCTTTCTGCTCGCTATGTATGCTTGACGAACAGAGCTGATTTCAAGGTCTGGGATACGATCTGAATTCTTAGCTCAGCTCAGCATCGACTACTTGCATGCTTGCAAACCGTTATGCGGAGAAAACGGATTGCCTGTCGGAAAACGGTGGGTTGATTATATTACCGTTGGCAAATTGGGATTCGCACATTTTCGACACGTCAACAACAAGCCTTGTTGAGGTATCTGAAGGTGTGTTAAATGTTTCCCTCCCTGGATTTGCTAATATGTAGGTATTTAGAGGGCTAGATTGTAGCCACAGACGCGTTCCGGCCGCAAGCCTTCCTCTCGGCCCTGATTTGGAATAGCTTACGATTCAGTAAATGCATAAAGAAGGATGCCGTGCTCAAGTTTACAAGTACTTCCCGATCGTACCTAAGCATTCTAACCTATATACATACTATTATATAATATTCTGATGGATATAAATTTCCTATTAATAACTCCAATACTCCAATATAAAATCTTACAAGATGCGGTAGAGAGGAACTCAATTAAAAATGTCATCCACATCCCGGAGATATCACCACAAGAGTCGGGCCGGATGTACCACATGCAAAGCCAAAAAGGTCAAATGCGACGAGAAACAACCATGCTCCTACTGCGCCAAGAGACAGCTTCCGTGTAGCTTAGTACCGGCGTCGCTACCCGGGAGCAGACCGGACTCAAATACGCCGGAAGTGATCGTCCGGCCTTACGAGGAGCCGTCTTTTACCTTTACCGACTTCGGTCTGTATCAACACTTTATCAAGTCTACTTCTACCGCGCAGGCCGACGATAGCGCATCGATAGCGGTCTGGCGAGAGTTCATCCCTGATCTCGCGACGCGGCATCCTTATCTTCTCCACGAGGTCCTCGCGGTCGCGGCGCTGCACCTCCGATCCGCTACACCGGAACATGCGAAATTTCTAGAGCGCGTGGCTACCGAGCACCAGGCTAGAGCTATTCCCCTGTTTCGGGAAGCCTTGGCTGCTAGTTCGGCTGAGACGGCCCTCCCGCTGTTTGCTTGCTCGTGCTTGTTCATACCGTATCACTTCGCTGTCGCAAAGGACGCCTTGTCGCTTCTTTTCAACGAGGAGGCCGGGTCTCTAGCCGAATGGCTGGTTTTAATCCATGGAACTGCAGCGGTCACCATAGAACACGGTCCTACTGTTATGAAATCCCCTCTACGTGCGCTTCTGGGAGATCTATCTTCGCCTAAACCCGAAGAACTGAGCGGCGGACCTACAGACGCGAGGCTTCTCCGCTTGAGCGAGGAACTCCCCATCGCGCCCGAGCACAAAGAAGCGTACGCGCAGGTCATGTACAAGCTTCGTCTAAGTTTCTACTTGTCAGACCGGGCGGACACGGCGCTCAATCGGAAGAACGCTGCTCTCAGGTTCCCGCCTTTTATGAATCAGCAGCGGATCGGGGATGATCTTGCCGCGAGACATCCGGCGGCACTTATCATCATGGCGTTTTGGTGCGTCTTGCTGCATCGGGTGGAGGATAGGTGGTGGCTGAAGGAAAGGGTCAAACCGCTGCTGGTGAAGATTGAGGAGTTGGTGCCGCCGGAGTATAGATATCTTATGGCTTGGCCTATGGAGGAGGTGGGGATTTATAAGAAATTGAACTTGGAGGTTTTAGTTGTGAGATAGATGGAAGATTTGAATATTAAAAGGTATAGAAAGTAGAAAGTTCAATGTAAACGATCAACTGCCAGTTGCTCTTGTTCATAGATACGTACGTATACCGTATTTAATTTTGTAGTTCGGACTGTGCTGCTAGTTGAATTTAGCAGCCTTCATAACTAAGAGGGGAATAGTCCCACAGTGTGGCAAAACTAGTTGTTTCCATGATATCTCAACCTTTGATTCACTCACTCACTCACTTACTCAACTGTCGTCCCTGTGGTTAAACCTCCAATAATTTAATCCTTACAACTTCAACCTGTCTACCTAATTTCCAAAGTCCACACTTATATCTCATTGTATAACATCGAAAGACTAAGCCTTGGTTGCTCTTTATTGTTCATAACCTCAAATACTGCGAATTTGTGAAATTAAAACCTGCTTGGTTCAGCAATACATACATACATCCACTACCCACTACCCAGCTCGTCGCTTATAAGAGCGAAGGGTCACAAACCACCAAACCAGAGACAAATATCTTATTAAGATCCTCAAGCTCTATAAAAATGGCGTTACCAACCCCAGAGACTCAAGCCAAGGTAGCTAGCGAAGGTATCTATTCTATCTGACTCAGCCCTCACCTGACCTCACCTCACCTCACCATATTTCATCCCTCATCTCATCTCACCTCATCTCACAAACCCCCATACTAACACTTTCCCCCCCAGCCGCCCAATCCTTCGTAGACCACTTCTACGAAGCCCTCAGCAAGCGGCGTCCCATCAGCCAATTCTACGCCTCCACCTCGCCCCGCCTAACCGCCGCCGGCGCCAAACCCGACATCAGCATAAACGGCCTCCTAGTCCCCGACGCATCCGCCTACGAGGCGCTGCTAGAAACCCAAGGCGGCCCCGTAACCTACGACGTCGCCTCCTTCGACGCGCACCCCGTGAACCCGTGCTACCGCCTCGGCGAGCCGGAAGCAACAGCTAGCGTCGGCCCAGGCCGCGACGCTACTACCGCCGCGGCCGTGCGGAACGGCGACAGGCTGAGCTTCGCGGTCCAGGTCAGCGGGGTGGTGAGGTACGGGCGGGGGCACGGGGACGGGAAGGCCGGGGACGCAGTGGTGGTGGCTGTAGGGGGAGTTGGAGTTGGAGGGGATACTAGCGGCAACAACGACAACGAGCCCCTCGAGAAGCTGTTTAACGAGTCGTTTCTACTGGTGCCGCATTGGGAGGCTTGGGGGAGGAATGCGCCCCGCGGCCTGAGGAAGTGGGTTATTGTTAGCCAGAACTTCCGCGCTCTGTAAGGGGGGAGAGGGGGGGACTAGGTAGTTAGTCGGATGAGGGATGAGGGATAAGGGAGGGATGAAGCAAACTCGTAAAGGGTGCGAGCAAACGGAGCGAGGCCGTGGATTTCTAACGCCCTTGCATGTTTTGATAGATAAGGCAGCTTCTGTAAGGATTGTGGACGGTAGACATACATACATACATTAGGTACATCCCGGTGAATGAGATATGAGATGATAGATCTAGACGAGGCTTTCTGGTACGTCGCTAACTAACTACATACATACAGCTTTACCTATATACTATGGATTTCATCTCGGGAAAATGACAAAGTCCATGAGACTACAACTTGGTTATCCAAGAATAATAAGATACCTATAGGTACCTGTTAGAAGAAAGAGGGAGGAAAGGTAGCATGTATTTACAAAAAGCAGAGGGGAAAGAACTAGAAACGGTGTCAAGATCATAGAAGAGGAGAGGACGTGGTTGATCCCGAGGAAGAATAGAAAAAGGGTTAGTTAGGTAGATATACCAAAATCTATCTCAACAAGTCCGGCACTGACGGCTCTTAAACCTCATCACTGTTCGTAAAGTCTCATAAAGTCAACGCTGCATTCATAGGTAGCTTTAGACACATCGCTACGGCCCTACTTAGATAAGTGCCTACCCAGTAATTCTAGGATAACTCTGCCCACTCTAAGGATATTGATATTATTCATCACCCTCCCGCTCCCCTCCCCTTACAAAATCTTCATGAATCTTTACCACCCGCTCCCACAGCGGAGCTCCGGGCTGACCATGCTCTCTCTAACGCTGGTCCTCCTTTAGTAACTTCCGCCTGTACTCCCAGTATCCGCGACGAATACGATCCCACTTATCGCCCAGCCGTCTAAGCACCAAATCCGCCCTTTCCAGCTCTCCTGCCTCCTTATATATATCCGCCAGCAAGTCCAAGGCGTGCGAACTCCGAACCTCCTCTCCTTCCGCATCGCCCAGATTCCTAACATACTGCTCCGTAAATCCCCTTACCGTCACTAGCTTCCGGCCTCCTTTGACTAGCACGCCGCGGAGGTAACTCCAGGGACTCTGGTTCTGCGGCGCGAGCTCGATCTTCTGCTGAGCGTACTCGATTTCGCGGTCGACGATAGCATCCGGTATCTTGGGGTCGTGCTCCGTAGCGTGAGAGTCGGGCGTCGCGTACGCCGGGTCCGAGAATACGACGAAGAAGCGGTGCGACCAGGCCGAGTTGTTCCGCACGTCCTCGTGGATCAGGGTCTCTATGCTCTGCAGCTCGGCGTCGCCCCACATCCCCAGCTTGCGCACTATATACTGTCGGTAGCTCCACACGTGGTAATTCTTCGTATCCAGCTGAAGCATCTTCTCTAGGAACTGCCGTTCGCTGTTAGCTAGGTCGGCTACCTCCGAGGGCACCGTCACGATCGCCGGGTAGTAATGTTCCATCAGCTGTTGCCGGTGGTTCCAAATCTGGTAGTTCTTGATGTGTGCGAGCGAGACTTCGTTAAGCCATTCGATTTCGTCCGGGATGGATATGTTTAGAGCCTGTACAATAGATAACCGGTACAGCCAGACGGTATAATGTGCCGGGTTTAAGGATATGATGCGCTCGGTTAGTCTGAGGCATCGCGGTGAGTACTCTTTCGCTGCCATAACGGCACGGAGGTAGGACATAGCTAGGAAACCATTAATATATATTTTTCAACTATATCCTAGCGGACCGGTGCCCATATGAACATACCTTCGGCATATTCGTCCGGATACGCGATAGCGGCAAGCGCTCCCTCGGGCTCGATCTGAGGTATCGGTACGACGTCATCCCAGTCCGGATCCAGCTCGTACGGATCCATCTTGGTGCCGTACAGCTCGTGCTGTAATTGTGACATCTCTTTCCGCCTAGCCATTTCAGCTTCTACGTCCTCTTCGGTGCAAGTAAACGTCTTCTCGTCGTGGGTATTGTTTTCGTTGGCCTTCGCGCGCTTGGTCTTAAAAGCTGAGCTTTCGTCTAGAAGCAACAGAAGCTTAACCTTCTTCGCCTCGCGGGCCTCGTACTCCTCGACGGTGTAATCGCCGACGTCGCGGCCGTTCTTGTCGCGGCCCCACTGGTGATCTCGCGGCCGAGGTAAGCTGCGTAGAGGAACGTTGGCTTCGTTTAACTGCTTCCACAGTTCCTTTTGGGCTTTGTTGGAGAGGGTCTTGGCAGCGCCCGGTTTTAGATATTCTTGGTTGAGGTAGGCTTGTCGATCAGCTGGGGTCATGCCATGGAGACCGAGCTCTTCGAAGGACTTTTGGTAAGGATTCGTCTCGTAGTACCACTGCCACTCGAGCTCTCTAATGGTCTGTGGTTGTTTCGGAGGTTCCTGCTTTGCTGCTAAGCGATCTACTTATTAGCAAATCTTCTAAGTTATACGAATAAGAAAAAGAAAAAGATTAAATGAGAATAATATACGTTCGGGTGCTTTTGCTTTAGCACCTCCTTTGTTCTTTGGAGGCATGGCTGCGATGTTGTGTGAATGGTGGGGTTCAAATAAATCAGATAAATACCCTTATAATTGGGGTCTCAGGAATAGAGGGTTGATGACAACAAAAATCCCACTAGTTGTTATGGACCTACAGTACGCCCCCTGTAATAATGTTATTTAGCGGACCCCTAGAGCTACTTCGCTGAGATCCTGAAGCGTATATCTATTGCCGCCCTGGGAGGTCGTTGTAGTTTTCTGAAAACGTTGTTTCGGAGTATTCTATGCTATAAAACCCTGGTATAATAGTTGAGATGCTTTAAAGGGCGTTGTTCTATTCAGAATTCGAAGCCCTATTTTGGAGTTTTGTATCGTGCACGGCCGAAAAGGTAACATTATTTCAGGGGGCGTACTGTACATATAGAGGGATGGAGGGGCAAGCGCAACCACCCTTCAGAACATTGAACCTGCCTCTTATTTCTTTTAAAAAAGAGACAGGCGCGTTTGGCTAATGATTAGTCTTATTAAAATTTAAACTTAAAATATTGCTCTAGTAAACCCCCTAGGTCATTCCCTTTCGTCGATTTCGTTTATATCGATGCTTCTCTATAGGTAATTATTATACCAGGTGCAACCGGAACGAGAGCCCCGAATACACCCTCAGTTGGATACCACATTACTCCTACAATCCATTGAAGCAACTATTTCCCGAAACCGCCTTCCATTCTCCCATAATTTCATCATTGGCTCTCAACCCTCCAAAATTTCCAGCCTTCCCTCTCAGCTCCGTCTAAGCCGCCAGACACTCCAACCAACTTCTCCACGCCGTCATTACCCGGTGCATTTAGGAAACCTTCGAGATCAATCTCCATGCCGCCCTCTTCATCTTCGTCCAAGCCGTTCTTCAACACCGCTGGCCATAACACGCCGACACCGTCTCCGCCAAGAGTCGTCCTAAATGTTTGGTATCCCTCCAGATCGAGTTTGCGCTGCAGCTTATCCAGCTTTTCTTGAGGGATATCCGGCTTCATTAACGATATCGAACAACCGCCGCCGCCCGCACCGGTCAGCTTCGACCATCCGAAGCCTTCGCAGTCGACTAGTTCTCGTATTCGTTCGAGGCGAGGATGCGAAACGCCCAAAGCCGAAAGTAAGCCGTGGTTGATTGTCATCAACTCTCCTACGCGCCGTAGACTCTCCGTTTCTTCGTTGTCGAAATATTCCTCCTCGATTAAACTCTCGGCGCTTCTGGTGACCTTGTCTATCGCATCCAAAATTGTTCCCACCAGTTCCTGGTGCGTGCTCCTTAACTTCGCAACCTTAGCCACTTCGACAGCCGTAGACTTTGGTGTTCTAGTGTTCACTAGGAGTAATGGCAATTCGGGGAAGTCCCATAGCGGCGTCACCGTCGGCGGCTTCTTATAGTCCGTCCGCTGGTACACCACCGCCTTGCCGTGTGTAGAGACCGTATTATCAACGCCGGAAGGATTGCCATGTATGCACATCTCGGCCACGAAGGCCCATCTATTAATCCTCTCCACTTGTAAACGAGCCTCCTCGGGGGGTTGGTCGGGATGCGGGCCAGACAGTGTGCGAATCTGTAACAGCATAGCTGCAGCTAAGCAGACGCCAATCGAGGCGCTACTTCCAACACCAGCCCCGATTGGTATTGTCGAACGAAGGGTATACCTGCAGCTTGGCGACTTCGGCGACCCTAGCGATAGGTATAAATATAGAAACGAGGCTGCGGAATTTTGGTGTATTTTTCGCTCGGCTTCCGACTTCCCTAACGAGATGTCTAAAAGGTGCGGTTGAATGGCTTTTACGAGGTCGGGGTCAAGAGATGTGACAAGATCGTAGTAGTACTTTTTCTTAGAAGGCTGTTGGAAAATGTCCCACGGTAATTCGTCAATATTCCACGTATGGATAAGGTCGATATCGGGAAACTGCATGGTTACTGTGCGTTTTGATTTGGAGAGGTGCGTCACTAGGAGGTAGGAGCGGAGCGAGACGGAGGCAGCGATAGCGGCCTATAAAACTGGTGAACTTGTGCACAAGAAGTAATTAATTATTAAGAAAGCAAGTTATATCATACCTTGCCATAGACTACGGCATGTTCGCCAAAGACGATGACCTTGCCCGGAGCTGATACCATAAAGGACGGCATCATAGGACTAGAGAGCTTGCGACTCATTCTCTTTTTCTTCTTGTCGCTCTCATCTAAAGTAGATCGGCCATTCGTACCGTTCGTACCATTTGTACCGTTCGTGCCGTTCGTGCCGTTCGTACTATTCCCATTGCCGTTTATATGGAGTGCTTCAATCTCCTTATGAAAACCATTGATGCCGTTGGACATTTCCGAGGATGCGCTGTCAAGGGTTGTTGGAGTAAAAGTCATGTGGAATCGTTCAGTTAATAGAATATCCTTCCTAGGGTCTTACGCTATGCGACTACTTTTGCTGCAGAATTCCGTGTGAAACGATAGGTAGGGTAGGTGGCTTATGTAGCTCCCAACACGGAACAGAACCCCACGTAATTTTGACTAATATATGCCCAGAGAGCAACGCGAGTGGTAAAAGGTATAAAAAAGGTATAAGCGGCACCAGATTGGAAGGGCTTAGAGTTAAACGAGCAGGAAAAGAAAAGAAAGATTTAGGTTCGAGTCGTGCGATGTAGGAATGAGATGATACTGGTAACGATTATTAAATAAAAAATAGTAGTAGTATTAGGTAGTCGTAATCTCGGTAAGGCTCTTCCTAGGTAATTATGTTTGGTTATGTCGCATTATGTTGCTTATTTATGCTCCTTTGCTACCGTAGGTGAATGTGATGAGATCACGATCACACCTCTTTCTTTTCAGTAAGCCACACACGCTGCAAGTCGATATTGACTGATTTATAGAATTGAACGGAGCTGCAGAGTTGACAAGAATCGGTGTAGGGATCCGAGACGAGATATACTGCAGTGCTATGTGTATGTAGGTAGGTGTTGGCCATCAACGTAAGGTAAGCGAGTGGGCGCAAAGCTGCAGAGCTGGCAAGCAAGGGGGGGAAATTTTCCCACCCCTTTTTGTTGATAATGTTGATTAGAGGAACTAGAGGGACGAGTCAAAGTACCTTGTCAAAGCTCCACTAGCCCAATTCGATATGAATGTATCCGTGTACCTGACCAGGGTATCGATAGCAACCCAGACGCCGCTGCAATGGGAATCAGTGGGAACCGAGACGTAGCCTCTTTAAGAAGAACCAGTCACACAGAGCCAATTAGAACACAACAGGGAGAATTGGCTGCCGGTCTCACTCTTGGCAGAAGGTCCCCCAGAGGAAAATATCCCTGTTCGGCCACGCCTTCCGACTCGGACCTTGACCAACAAGGTATTGATGACCGAGGTCCAGTCTAAGACAATGACATGACCTTCGCTGCCTTGGATAAACTTTAACTTTGCAACACCAACATTAACCTCGAATTATTATCGCAGCTTCACTCGGACGATATGAAGTTACGAATACTCAAATTATACTTGGGACCGCTTCCGATATAAAACAATTGCAGTCCTAGCGTAGCATGTCCACGACATCAAGATAATTTATTTCAACGAGAATAAAGCTGCAAGTCAACGAAACCTACCTTCACACGGCGTCCTATTTTAAAAGGTAACACGCGACATGAAGTCGCAACACTATAAAGAGACCCCGCCACCAGAGTCCGAATCGGAGTCAAATTCACTCACGGCTTCACCTCGAGTCTCGCAGGTCGACGAATTATCGTTCGAGAGAGAGGAGCTACTCGATTCTTCGGCAATACATGATTGTGTATCTGTTGTAACAGGAATGACTTCCGGCACGGTTGAGTCTGTGTACAGGTATTAGTCTCCTGCAGTAGGCTCAAGCGAGGATGAATGTGAATACATGGTGAGACACACCATAACTCGAACTTGTCAACTGCCTTTCGAGAGGGTTCTCTTCATATACTTTCTCCGCGGGAAGTGCCATGGTTGAAATAGTAATCCCCGTCAGCGAATCGGGGTGCCATGTAAGCGGCCCTGCTTTCCGTATGATCTGCGCCAGGGCATCTTTCCTGATCGTTTCCAACATCTTATTCATCAGATCTCGCTGCGTATTGTAGCCCGGACTTTTAGATCCCTCGGGCAACACCGGCACCCCCCAATTCAGGTATATCTTCTGATGCGATTCCGGTTCCACGGGCCTAGATTCGTGGTGCCGGAAGTAGAGATGGCAGCAATAACATGCCGGCTTGCTGCATCCGATGTAGCGGTCATCATCGACGTAACGGAGTTGGTTCGTACAGAAATGTTCTAGAATTTGAACCTCGGCGTGGACGCGCGGCTGGAAGTGTTTCTTGTTATATTCTCCGCGGATTCGGTTTGTGATTTGAAACTTATGATCCAGAGACACTAGAGCCTCTATATATTCTTCCAATTTCGGGTCGTTGGCCGGTAACATCCGTTTGAGGATACTGTGAAGCTCGGTAAGAGAGTCGGCCTGGGGTCGTGGGTTACTCGGTGGTGGATTAACCAAACAAATCTTATATTCGTTGAATAGGTGACCCAATTCAAGCGAATCCTCGATAACTTCCTTTGGCGCTCGCACATGATGCGCCAATCGCCCCAAACGATGGCGTACTTCTGCGAAAGGAGGCGCATATTTGCCGATATTGATATCTCCATTGCCGGAGTAAGTATCGCTCTCCAGCGAACGCAACTCCGGCGCCTTTCGTTGATCATAGGCTTGGAAGCAAACATCTTCCATAAGCTTCCCTTTGTCCGGAATGAATTGTTGTAGCCATTTGGCTAATTGGGAATCTGCAATATTCGGCGTAAGTAAAGCTTGCTTGAAGTAACTTGGTGGTTAGTCAAAACCTCTAACCTGGTACAGAACTTTCCTTGTTGATAGATTTCTTGCACTCTTTGATCGCCTTGGATAGTAACTTGGCTTCCTTCTTCACCCTCGGTTCAGCAAAAGCTATACATCTGCGGACGAATTCAGCTTCGAGGAGACTCCTTTCCTCCTTTTCGATGATGTGATGTATTTTTTCTAGGGACGATCGTAGGAATCCTATAATTTTGTTGCCCGCGCGAACTGTATTCGAAGCAACCCAGAAGACGTAGCATTGGGCGTTATCCTCAAGAGCAATAGATGAAGTCATATCACCACCCTTATCATAGTCGCAAAGGTAAGAAAGGTTGCGGAGCAGCCTTCTACGTCTGGCTTGACTCTCGTCATCATGAGGAGCTGAAGTATGTGTCCCTCGCGTCTGGCCGAGGACTCTCGATAGAATCAAAGGTTCATAGAATCGATGAAGTAATTTCGAGTACGGGTCCATGCCCAGCCTTCCTGATGTTTTCTTAGGTCCCATTCTCACTAGCTTTCCAAGGAACCATCATGTTTCCTGAAAGCTGGGAGTCGACAATAAATAACATGAATCGAGGTCTTCTCGCGGCCTCAACTCGAAACCATTATCCCGCCCATAACTACGTTGTGCGACCAAACATGCATTTCGAGTCATCCAGCGTGGAGGTCGTGGCACCAACCGGCTGCTCAAACGCGAGTTCAATTAGGCCAATACTATGCAAGTTCCCTTCCAATCAGTTGCCTAAATCCAATCACTTAAAGTGACTCGATTCCAGACCGGGGAAAAGCTACACAGTACGTTCTTGAAATTGAGGGGATGTTGCGCGGGCGGAAGGCTGCGGTTGGGGGTATCGTGATATCTGACAGGTCATTATTACACGATTTTCTCCCTTTGAACCGGGAGATTTGGCAAGGCTGTCTATGTCACTAACATCAGGACCGCGCAGTGTTTCTTATTTTCAAGTGTTCCTAGGTCGTATATATGGGATTCGATACCGTTTCACAGCATCCTAGCAGCTATAAAGAACATATTTCGTATCAGGGGACAAGAATTTCACTTCGTATAAATTTGATCGTGTGTTCAGCATCAACAGATCGCATAACAATTTGATACAGGACGCCAAACAAAAGGAATCACATCCTAACAAGATAAACAAGTAAACTTCATCCCCAAATATGTGTGAATAATGAAATATTAATGGCGAATGCATATATCCACCTATATGTCAGGCAAAGAACGAAGCTGCCAAAGTCTTGCCTGTGTCTATCACGAGACAGACCCAGCGCCGGGATTCTAGATGAGCTACATAAAATCTTGGAAATATCACGTATCACGGAGATATTAACCGAGTAGACTACCTACGTAGCATACGAACTATCTAATAAGTGCGATGTAGTATACGCAGATAAAAAAGAGAAAAAAAGAGTAATGCAGCCACCTAAGGAATCTAACCCTAGGGCCTAGCGACTTTCCATAAGGATGCAATTATGCTAGTTATTGGGCGGAGAATCATTGCTAGACCGTACCAACCTGGCCATTGATCGATTGTTAGAATGCCTCACTGTTCTTTGAATTTATGTCTATTTCGGATCGGCTAAATGTCTAAATGTTGCCATGTGTCCTTATGAAGGTTGACGGTAGCTTCGAGTAAGTCTCGCACGGTCGTGGCGGTTGGTTATAGAGCTCAACTCTATAGCTCAAGAGGTAAGGATAAGGGTAATTCTTATTAGAAGAACAATACGCTTAATTACGTATACGCCTCGGGGGTTATAAACGTACCTATGTTTAGAAGTCTAACAGGTAAAGCAATTAAAAGGGGGTATAGGAGGTGATTGTTGCCTACCAAGAAGCCATCCCAGCAATGTCGCTCTAGATTACTCAATCATTTCGAAAATATATAGAAGGAAAATTTCCCGGTAGTTGACCGTTGTTGTTACTATTGGTAACTTTATCACATACGACGACTTGATAATGAAGTGGACGCTGAGTTACCTCCAAAGGATTTTTCTATCAAGATATGAGGTATAGAAAAGTTTGATCACCTCTCCGTGTACTATAATATAACTTACAACGCCATCTACCTATGTACTCTACGTTATAACTCATATTTAGGCCTGATTAGATTATTTCCTATAAAAAGTCCCCTCGCTATACCTGTTTACGAGACCCCATCTGTGCCGTATTGTGTCATTTTTATAGAATTATTAGACCGACGAATTCCTTTATTCCATGCGGCTCTTCATCCAATCTTGAAGAGTGACATTGCTAGGTCCCTGGACTACCGAAATATTTAGAGAGAATGTTCATAGTCATAACAGTAGTCTAGTCTTGGGTAGGTTTATAACTATTTACACGGAAACTATTTCATATTATATTCTCTATTCCTATCCTCACAAGTATCCCTGATAGTGGCGTCGTCAATCCCGTGCCCCCTAGAAGGTACCACGGTTCAAAAGTTAGCATAGTCACTCTAACTACAATTGCCGTGCTAATATCATTTCTATTTAACTGAACAGCACCTATATTATTTAGTGTAAATGTGAATTGATTATACTGAAGAAACTGGATGATATTTGCGAGTGGTAGTGAGCTTTCATATACCTGATGTACCTGCGTAGATAACTTCAATTATCTTGTCGGTCATTGATCCCACTGAACGATACGCCGCCATACTAGCAGATTGTAGTAAAACATACCATGACAAAGAATAATTAACCTTTGGTATATGGCTAGAAGAAGATAAAACTTTCTCAAAATATAGGGTTACTCGACTTATCTGACAGATGAGTACATAGGGTGAAAACTAGGCCTGAATGTACTCGAGCAGACTTCACATGGCTTTCAAACTATTCGCCGACTTATGTGGCGACACATCCATAGTTAGGCGGCCATTTCCCAACAGTATAATTCGCTTGAGATTTGTTAGACTAATGATCGACGATACGACTTTTCAGTTTCCTATAGTCTACCTAGTCCTTTGGAGGCCATTGTGTAGATCGCCTTGCTGCTTGTGGCCGAAATGGTACATTGCTGTGTCATTAGCCACTTCACATGACCCAAGGGTGAGGCCACCCAGGCAGTGGCATGGGTTTGTTGCCGTTTCTGTCGTCTTCTTAGTAAATCTCACCAACAACAGATCGCTATCACGACCTTTCCCCCGCTTTTCAAAGGCGGGTTGTTCCCGCCAAGACGATATTCGGTATGTGGCCGTACATACAGCTCGTTGGCGGCAATCCATGGTAGAGTCAATCCTATGGCAAAGCCGATTTTGTTTATGGAGCGGATAATTACCTAACATTATTGTTGCTTTGGTGCCCGATTTGGCCTCACGCCCATTGCTAGGTACTCGGCCATGTAACGTTTGTACCTCTAAGTCCCTGTTCGTAAATTCTCTAGAAGGATAGCACTCTCATCGTTAGCAACAGAATTTATACGATGACTTCTATATGATTATGCTAGTCAAATGTCGTCGTATACGAGATATAGACTATAACATTATTATACTCTTGGCCAGCCGCTCGGGAATTGTCAAAAATATCAGTTGGTCTATTTTACGAGGCATGAAGCGCACGGATGTAACCTCCACCAAGACCTTACCATTATACCAATAGAAATCTGGCAGTACGGAATATACGAGTGGATATATACCTATATATATGTGGCTGCGGCGCACCAACAGGCTGACAGGCCACCACACGCGAGCCAAGCCCAAACAGCCACGATTTGATTCAGAGCTAAGCCAGGAATACGATGCTTTCACATGGCTGAATTTGTTGGCTGGTAACTAGCAACACCGATAAAGGCAAAAAGCTAAGGGACGAAAGAAACTACCAATCCTACTTGGGAATCAGATCCAACAGACACGAAGGAGACAAACTGATAATAGAAAAGATCATCACTCTCTCCCCGTTGTGCATTGGAAGTGGACTATGTAAAGATTTTATCTTGTTAGTCTGCGGCGCGCATATTGCTATTCTGGGACCAATAAGGAGGCGTTGACTCCTCCCGCTTCCTCCCTGCGTAGACGGAGCGGGCGAAGGAGTACCGTATTAATGAAGCGGTCGTACAAATTCAGATACCTAAAATACATGTATGAAAATAGTGAAAATAGCGAAAAATAGTGAGTCCGGGGTAAACGATGGCACGTTACACTAGGCCAATAGAGTAAGGTATGGGCTGTTCCTTCGGTGCGTTTCAAGCACTCCACCTGCCAGATCGGGACCTTGAAACAAGGCCTACGGACGGATCTTGGCGTCCATGCCGGGTCGTATACGGGCTGTGGTTGGCTCTACCATCTAAATGCAGGGACGACAGGGGCGAAAAACTTTAATGTGAACAACGCAACCGCGCATGAAGTGGTGATTAATTGTGGTTGGTGTGACTTGCTAAGGTGCCAAAGCCCTGCCAGAGGTTGTTAAGAGATCAAGAATGTGGGACTGCGGTTGTAACTTCGGCCACTCATGGTTGAAGCTGCACCTACCTTACCTGGGTATACCTAGTATACTGCAGTATACCTTCCTGGATTATACCTGGATTATACCTGGGTACGTAACTCGATCTTGCCCAATCAGCCAATCTAACCCATTCAAGGGGGAAGAACGGTGGCAGGGTGGCTTTCTCCAAATTCCACGATCTCCCCAGTTATGGCATTACATAGTACAAGCTTTGCTTCCCATGTGCCTCTTCGTACCGCACGACGGGCGAAAAGGAACATGGGTTAGTTTGAAGTTTCGGGCAATTAGGCCTGTCGTGAGCAATCTCTATTTACGTCCCCGTTGTCGATCATCTATACTTATACCGTAAGGTAGTTACATTATCACCGAACGTAGATCAGCCCCATCTTCTACCGACCTTCTAAGAAAGTGCACATATCCGATTCCCATCTATAAAACAACCCTCCTCCCCATCCATCTGCTTCCAACTGTAATTTAACATATCCAACTGCATACCGAGGTAGCCAAGGTGATTCACCTGTAAAGATCGGGAAAAGGTTTTTTGTTTTTTCGAATTATAAACACGCTCGCTTCGACACTTTCGCTCGCTATCTACTTATCCTAAGGAATCTAAGGAATAATATACCCAAACAAAACCTACCAGTTACTTAATAATGGCACCTCTACGCGTTCTCGTTCTTCCGGCTCTCGCCGCCGTCGCCACCGCCATCAACATAGCTGACTACGTCCCGGCTTGCGGACCCCCGTGTATCACTGAGACCGTCGACAAGCACACTACTTGCGATGAGGGCGACAACACTTGTATCTGCGCCGCCGTCTACACCGTCAAGCGCGACGGTGAGATCTGCCTGCGAAGTGATTGCTCTGCGACCGACTATGGTACGTCTACTTGTACATGATATGAAAGGGAAGAATAGAAAATTAATAGCAAATATAGGTAGTGTCATGAAGGGCATCGATACCTTCTGTGCCGACGTCGCCGCTGGCCCAACTGGGTCCTCTACCAGCTCAACCCCTGAGCCTACTCCTGAACCTACCAGCAGCTCTTCCGCCGGCTACCCGACGTTGCCGCCGTCTTCTTCTTCTGAGGAGACCAGCTCTACTGAGGCCCCGAGCTCTAGCTCCAGCGGTGGTTACCCCACGGAGTCTCCTTCCAGCTCCACCGAGGTGCCCAGCTCCAGCTCTGCTGGTGGCTACCCTACTCAGTCTCCCTCCAGCTCGGAGACCGCCGCCCCGCCTTCTTCCTCTTCCCCGGCTCCCCCGGTGTCTTCGGGAACTGGCTACCCTACCGTGCCCACTGGCACTGGCGTCCCTACCACCCCCGTCCCTTCCGGATCCAGCACCCCTGCTCCCAGTGGCTCGTCTTCCGGTGGCCAGGTCCCTACTGGACCTTCTTCCATTCCCTCAGGCTACTCTTCCAGCGCCCCCTCCGGCAGCGCGACCGCCACTCCCGTTGCCCCTGGAGCCGGAGCCCGCGCCGAGGCTCGTCTCGGTGCCAGCGTGGCTGCTCTCGTCATCGCCAGCGGAATCATGTACTTCGCCTTCTAAGCCCCATCTCCTTTTTGACCTAGGTCGTGCGAGCTTGTGGTTTCTCGGGAAGAATCATGTGGTAGCCTATTAATGCCGTGGTGAGAAAATGGGAACGAGTTTTTTATACATACTGTCGGCCGCACCTCCTAGTTGAGGGATGGAACTCTTCGCTTCTGAAAAATTGTAGATAGCCCTTGTGCACATGCGTTTGCGTTAGGCATGTGAGTATATATTGAATACATATGCATTGTTACGGTTCTTTTTTCATATTAGACTCAGCATTGAATGAAATCTTATAAAAATAATTGTGCCGCCTATTAAGAGAGTGAGGTTGCGAGGTACCTTAGGTAGGCATGAGGTAGGTATACGTTAGGATCCGCTCTCATCATTCTCGTTGTTCTCCGCCGATGAGAACACGTTAGTCCACATGCCTAGTTGGGCGCCTAGTCCGAGCCCTCCATGCATTTGCTCTTCTTCGAAGTCAATGATATCGTCTTCTTCGCTATCTTCTTCCCCGTTCCTTTCGTTACCTGGCCAGGAGTCATACCCAACCCCGATTTGTCTGGCCCATCGAGAAAAAGATTCTCTTTCCCTTCTTAGCCTCATGTCCGAACTTATAGATCGTGGCGTACATGACGAGCCCTCGACCGATTCTGCAGCGGGTGGAATTGTCATCTGGTCCTCTAAGTCTATTATTGCACTTATATCGACTCCTATCACCCTGATAGCCCGCGGAGATGCGACCCCGCTTCGATAGTCTACGGACGGGCTATCCTCCCGTGCGTCGCGCAGAGATAAGGGGAATTGCGGTTTCGGTGACGTTGGCATAGACGAAGGCAAGTAAATGACTAGGAACACGACGAGGCCGGGACAGACGGTAGCGCTCCACATCGCACGGGGGATGACGTGGTTATCGAGGCCTTTAAGATGGTACAAATCGCTTCGGCAGCGATGATTACGTCCCCTCATATCGGGCACGGTCTCCTCGAGAAGGTCGCCCATGTCCTGATGCCAATAAGCAAATAAGCTTTTGCCAACCTTGTTATCTAGGTATGTATGACGCCAAGAGAGAAGTCGACTTACCTCCCACTTCCGGCACAGCTCGAACGCGAACTGGAAATATTGTTCGCCGTACTTGACGTGGACAGGTTGGACGGGAGGCCCGAGGGAGAAAAACGCGACGATGCAAGACTCTCTCCCCTGGGGCTGCCGGCTTATCGCCACGCAGGTCCTCGAGCGGTGACTTGAACGGTTCGCTTCCGCCGCCACTCGGTCTACGCTCTCCCGCTGGGCGGGATTAAGCGACGCGTATTGGGTCCACACGCCGCCCCCTGTCGACTTGGTGAGCCGGCTCAGCTCATCCGCTAGCTCCTCGTGGCCGAAAGGGATCTTGCGGAATGTGCGGAAGTCGTTCTCGACGAGGTATGCCTCGAGATCCAGGCTCTTCTAGTCACGGGTGGGCTGCTTGTTTCGGTTCCCAAGGAGACTTGGTATCCGTGGGAGATGGCCGAGGGCCCCTAGCGAGAGCCTGGGCTTGTGCGTTTTCTTGCCCTTGGAGTGTCTTGTTGTGTGGTTATGTGGAGGGTTCTCCTCGTTGTCGGTATTTATTAGATTCGAGCTGGGTGCTGGACGGTTAGTATTTACGCTTACTGGCGAACTTCGGGCATTTGTTTGGGTATTGGTTTGCGTCTGGGGAGCTGCAGGGTTTGCGTCAAGCGTATCCTGAACTACGAGTTGCCGAAATGGTTCGGTTCGCTTTGGGTGGCCAATATCATTATCTAGATTGTTATTGCCCTCGATTAATAAACTACCATGAAACTCGGCTCTTTTATTAGGCGTATCGTCGCTGTACCTATTAGTTCGCAGGGCATCGCAACGTCGTTGGGTTCTCTTACGTTATAGGAGGTGACACTGGGTTGTTAGGAGATCTAGACGTAACTTGAGGCGGCTCTGGAAGACGTTCTGGTGACACGAACTCTGGCTTATCGTCGGTAGCTTTACTAGATGTTGCTGCTGCTGCTGATGTACTTTTTATTCCCATCCCATCCCTCGCCCGGGACGATGGCCCTGCATGACTGGGTTCAGGGACTTTGACAAAGTGCTGCTCGCTCTTAGAGCTCGTTCTCCTATGTAAATCAATCGAGGAAGTAGATTCAACCAGGGATCTCCTTCTGGTCTTGCCCTTCTTACTTCCTCTCCTTTGGGCGGCTATCAATTTGGCATACGCTTCCCTTTCAGACAAGAGCTTTTCCAGAGCAGCTTGTAAAGCTACCTCTTTCTCATAAGCGTCGGGAGATCTAGCTGGAGCCCTATGTGCGGGAAACAAGTATCAGTTAAGTCAATATTAATTACAGGCGATACGAACGTCATTTTTGTCTTTGCAAGCTCCATGAGCCTCAGGTGAAAAAGCAGGCTGATCTTTAGCCATCTTAGGTCTTCCTGGTGCCTCTTGATACGAGATTCCCGGAAGGGCCATATGAGCTTTTGTATCCGACTCGGGGCGTTTAAACTATGCAAGTTCAATGCATCGTGGGTCACTTTACCGCTGTTGTCCTTTGGCACGCCGACGGCCTTGGCAATAAGATGGATGATAGCGCCGTAAACTTGCTCGCACTGCGATGCCAGTCGCTTTACCTGTTCCACTCCTGATTTACTCGCAATTGCTTTATTATTCTGATCAGGTTTAATGAATTCATCGAGCTGTTCCAGGGCAGAAGCTGTTGCGCTGACATCCAAGGCTATGTCCTTTAAGCTTTCTTGCGCTTCGAACACAGCTTCGATATACATCTGCAGCATTGTTGCGATTTGAAGGCCAAAAGCTGCAATGCCCACAATAGAGCCGACTGCTCCTAAGGGGTCTCCCATCCCTCTATAGCACCTATTCTAGACTCGATTCTCGCTGTAAGACTTTCAAGCTGAGTGAATGAGTGAATATGAGGCATGAACCAGAGCATGGCCAGGCGGCCAGAGCTTTGAAGCGAGTGCAGCTGAGATAAATACTACCAAATATCATAAATACGCAGAGTCAGCCTATAGATCCGCCCCTCCAAGCGGCAGTGCAACTCCGAATAATACGATATGTGAGCACACATGGCGCTTGGTTATATTTAAATAGAAAAATCACTTCCATTGGTACCTCATTCTGGACATGGGAGAATAAAATACTTAGGCGACGGATCGTCTGAATTATAAAACTCGATGATGATATTATGAGATGTACCTCCTGCCCGGGCCCCAGGTGGATGGTGGTCTTAGAAGTTAGAACATTCCAATACGACAATGTCACACTCTTAATTCCATTAAAACCCGTCTCGGAATTACCCCTACGTAACGGACCCGACTGGATTCTCGATTGGGTAAATGCGGTGTAGGGTGGGTAAGGCAAGGCAACTCTCTGCAACGCGGCCCAACTAGGAAAGCTATATAACCTCGTTCGTCATCAGCTTACCTCTACATCATCCTACGTGGTAAAAGTTATTTATCAGTTCAGTTCAGTTCAGATCCCATTACTATATCACCAATAAGTCATCATGACAGTCACAGAGTTGGCATGGTTTACAGGTGCCCACGGCCCCGTTGGAGACGAGGCCAAGGAAGCTATGAACCGGGGCCTAATCGTTCAGGATGACTGGTGCGCCCGTAATACTCCGACATTACCTAAGGGCAGAGAAGCTCGTGGTGTAGGCTTCTTCCGACAAATCGAGGATCCATCTATCGCCCTCCTAACGGCACACTGGGAATCCGTCTCCCAGCACCGGCTTTGGCAGGCCTCGCCCGAGAACAAGACGGCCTACCCCCCTCTCAAAGAGCACTTCACGCTAGAAAAGACAGACGTGTCTCACCTCGAAGACGCTGCGTTCTTCGATGCATCAGGACCGGATGGCGAGATCTCCCTATTAAAAAGTCCTATCGTTAGTTTAAGCTGCGTGACCATTCCGGCCGAGAAACGCAAGGCATTCGAGCAGGCCTGGGTTGAAAATAAGCACTTATTGGAGGCATATACACCACTAATTAAGTTCGGGTGGCGCATCGAAAAGGAAGACGAGAGCTTGGAGCAGTTTATTCTTTCTTGCTCGTGGCCAAGCGTCGAGAAGCACATGGAATTCGCAGGAGGAAAAGACTTCCCTCAGTTCTCGGCAGCGCTCTTGTCTCTTTCGCAGGATACCGAGGCCAAGCATTACGAGAGGATCCTGTAAGACATGATTAGGCACACACAATAAGAAGTTCTCTCTTTTGCTCTTTAGAAATAACGGCCCCGATCGCGGGATTTTGTGCAATTGTTGTGAATTGTTGTGAATTGTCTACAAGCGTTATCGTGCTCGAGAAACATCAATTCGGAAGGTATCCTTAGACGCCGCCTCATGAAAATACCAGCCCAGCTACAAGAGCATATGCATCACTCCCCATTGGTCCTCGATGACCGCGTTCGTAGACGCCTATCCGTCCATCACCCTGAGACTTCCCCAGTTGCGATTGGTAGTTTTCCTTTCCCCGGACGCGTGGTCAGAACTTATGCCGTGTGCTTGCCCTTCCTGTTCTTCTTGGGGACCTCCTTGATTTGTAGGTCTGTGGTTATAATGTTAGTGATTGATTATTCGAAGCTTCAGTCTGCGAAGAGTCAATGCGTACTCGGGGGTAAGCTCTGCTTTAGCTTCTCGGCCTTGTCGGAGTCCTTAAGGATCAGGGTGTAGAGGTGCTTGGAGCATCGGACCTTGAACTTGGTCTGCGACGACTTCTTGTTCTTCTTGATCCGGGCGGCTGTATTAAAAAAAGCAAATTGTTAGAACCAGCGCTGACACCAAAATAACTGTTTTCTTTCTATTCATTATCTTGTCACGTACACTTGGCGTCTTCCCGCCGGCAGATCTCGATGAACTAAATAACTCAATTGTTAGCCAAAATTCGATTAAACAGATTCGTAGAGTCGCAACTGTACCTTCTTGATATCGGCGATTTCCTGAGGCATTTTGACGGTATTATGGCGGAATCGATGTTGATAGAGGTAGGAATCGAGAAGTTGACTTTTCTGCCGGTGTTGCGAAATTGTGTGGGCGAAATTCCGTGACAGGGTTCTAAGCGACTTCCCAATTTGATAGTGGGGAGGGTTGTTGTGATTGATAAGAGATAAGTCCCACTGGCAGTTACTATGTGCACGGTCCATTTCTAGGTACCTAGGTACCTACATCGATGTGGAAGGATGAGGCTTTCCACTAATACCGTACGTGGCTGATGACGTGGCGTTAGCTTCCACTATCACAAGTCGAAGACTCATCCATTCCATTAGGTAGATACAGGGGATTGGTCCTTCTACAAAAGGTGATTTGAACTGGACAGAGTTGCCTAATCACCGAATTTAGATATCGGTGATTCATAATACAGCCCTCTACTTATTCGTTTTACGTATATAAGTTCCGTCTTACTTACCAATCAACCATGCCTACTCTCCTTGATAATGCCATGAGATCCAAGGTGCACAACCCTCAACATCATCGTCTATCAGTCTTTCATTGGTAGCTAAAGATATTATAACTAACTCAACGCGAGCAGAACGCCGTACTAGGTACATCTGCTGAGTATATATAAATCGTTGCATCTTCGCCATACTGATGAGTGCTTATATCAAAGCCTTCTCCGGGCTCGTTACGGCCGCTCTCGCTTGGTCGTTTGCCGGTGGGAGTATCTTCCCGTCTCAGGATGATCCGAAGGGAGACCCCGAGACTTGGACACGGGAGGAACTCAGAAGATGGCTTGCGGCTGTAAGAATATTCCCATGTTCTATTTAACCTACTCTGTTAGCTAACTACGTCTAGCGCAACCTTCATCCCCAGAAAGGAGATACTCGAGAACAACTGTTAGAGAGGGTTAAGGCAAATATGAGGTAGGGCGAATTATTAGTAGCCGTTCGCAATGCTAGCGGCCTACTCCGGTCTGGTATAGGAGCGATCAGGAAGTCGAAAAGTGCCATTTACCAAAGCATTGAAAAGAATAGAAGGAAGCATAAGGTTTCCCATCTATGAGTTAATGATTTATCGACCGTTAAGTCTTGTTTTACGCGCATACCTACATGAGATACCTATTTAATTAGTAAATTGAAGAATTGTATTTCTTACAAATACGTCCTGGGCTGTCACGGTCAGGAGTCACGTAGTTACCTGGCTTCGCCAGTCACCTACATGACTCAGTACCTGAGTCAGGCATCACCTTACATGTGTATATATTCAGGCCTCGCAGCCTATTGATGTTCTGGTTCCCCAGAACATCATCTTCTTCCTTACTGACCTTTTGGTCCCGTGATATGGGCGAATAGGTAGTAAATGTGATTGTGTTGAAAATTGAAGTTTGGCCAGGCTGCCAGGTACCTCTAGTAGACTTGTCCATGAGGCGGTGCAGACGCTGTGCCATACCTTGTACCCCCGTACCACATATACCAGCCACATTGACGTCTGACCTGACACGGTTTCTCGATGACTGCTTACGAGCTTAATTATAGGTCTTTCCTTCAGCCAACCAAAGACTTAATGCTCCCATCATCACCAAACATTCTGATCTCGGCGTGATGGATATCCTTCAGGTATGCCCTATAAACCCTTTTTACGACTAGAAAATTCCTAACATTGTATAATTAGCGTCTAGCTCGGTTCTTAGACCGACCCCTCTTCCCGTGGAAGAAGCTCATCATCGGGTTTTCTGTCGCCCAGTATCTCTTCGAAGAATTCTTGTCACTGCGCCAGTACAGAGTCTTACAGAAGACAAAGCCCCCCAAGGTTCTCGAGAAAGAAGTTGCTCAGGATGTCTACGATAAAAGTCAGGAATATGGTCGCGCTAAAGCAAAGTTTGGTTTCGTAAGAGGTCTCTGGGGTCAAATCCAGAATATTGCATTCATTCACTTCGATGTTCTCCCCAAACTGTGGACATGGACTGGCGGCCTCCTTCGCTTCGCTCCCGCTCGGTTTAGCGGCGAGATATCGCACTCAATTGTCTTCGTCCTCACTTTCATCCTGATCCAGCAAGTCCTGTCCCTCCCTGCCAACATCTACCATACGTTCGTCTTGGAAGAAAAGTTCGGTTTCAATAAGCAGACGCCCAAACTGTTTATCACGGATATGATCAAGTCAAACTTGCTCGCTTTCGTCATCGCGCCTCCTGTTCTTGCCGGATTCCTCGCCATCGTAAAGAAGACGGGTACCCAGTTTGTCACGTATCTTTGGCTCTTCACTGCTGTTCTTCAGGTTTTCATGATCACGGTCTACCCAATCTTCATCCTACCCCTGTTCAACAAATTGTCCCCTCTTGAGGAAGGCAAATTGAAGACCGAGACTGAGGCATTGGCTAAGAAGTTGAATTTCCCTCTCCATGAGTTGTTCGTCATCGATGGTAGCAAGCGCAGCGCGCACAGCAATGCTTATTTTTTCGGACTTCCGTGGAAGAAGCACATCGTCATCTATGACACATTGATCGAGAAAAGCAGCCCGGAGGAGGTCGTTGCCGTTCTAGCGCACGAGCTTGGCCACTGGAGCCTTGGTCACACTACTAGGCTATTCGGTATCTCTCAGGTTTGTTCAAAATACCCAATTCGGATATAAAAGGTATACTGACAATCGATAGATTAACGTGTTCTACATCTTCAGCTTGTTCTCGGTATTCGTCAATAACAACTCCTTGTATGCCGACTTCGGTTTCATCAATGAGCACCCTATTATTATCGGATTTATCCTATTCTCTGACGCATTGGCACCGATGGACCTCGTAATTAAGCTATTGATGAACATCATGAGCCGACGATTCGAATTCCAGGCTGATGCCTTCGCTCGCAATCTGGGTTACCAGGCTGAGCTAGCTTCGTCTCTCATCAAGCTGCAGATCCAGAATCTTAGCACGATGGATGCAGACTCGCTGTATGCGAGCTACCATTTCTCCCACCCCATCCTTTCGGAGAGACTGAAGGCGCTGGAGTGGACCCCTACCGGAAAGGTGGTCGAAGAGAAAAAGGAAGACGAGGATGTTGCTGAGAAGGCCAGTGGACGGGAGCTATAGATCTCACCAGCTTAGATCTTCATACCGTGAAAAGTATACACTAGAGACCACTTAACTATATAGACAGTCATACTTGACTTAATGAAATACTGTGTTGCCTTACCCTCACGTATTTGAACTATACGAATTTTACTGCGTGGTTATTCGGTCAAAACTGTCGCTTTCGACGGGTTCCATATACTGCATAGGGAAAAGAAAATTTAACGATGTCATGCTATGCCCCTTAACACTGCTTAATATCATAACTACCTAGGTAGGTATTTGAAGAGTTGTGGTTATATACCAGTAATATAGTAAATAATAAACAAACATTCTATGCCGTCTTCAGCTAAACCTAAGATAGTCGCATCAAAGAATCGCATCAAAGAAGGTACGCATACGCGCATATGAACCGATGCACCGCTAGCCAATCAAATGCCCCATGATAAGCATGATAAGCGGAGCTGTACTCTAGTGACGTGACGGTTTAACGCGTGCGCCCCGCCAAAGACCCCTGCTATCTTCTGAACGCGACGCGCTTTTCTAAAAACCACTTAAACCACTTAATGGGTGACTCGTGCTTTGCTACACTACCTCCATATACCATCATCATCATCAGTGGTTCTTTAGGTAGTAGTTCTAATGTTCTAATTGCCATCTCTCTATTTCCCATCGAGTCCGTCCTCGAAAGACATAGCCATGGCTACTAAATTCCTACCTCAGAAGCGCGCCCATGGGGATGCTTCAAGTCGTCGAAATTTCCAATCGAACCCTAACGCAAAGAAGCCCCGTCTCGAGCCGCTCTCATCCGCCCCGGCGTCGCGCCTCAACAGTTTTCAGCAGGGCCCCGGCTCAAAATTAACATCAACTCAGCCGAAAAGCGCATTCGAGTCAGAAGTTCTCGAGAAGCTAAGCCAAGATATTTCAGAGCTCAAGCAGTCCAATTCAGAAAAGGACCAAGCATGGGAACGCCCTCCCGTTGTGAACTTCGACCCCGCTCGGGACAACCTCACCTTCCAACAGATTGAAGCCGAAGAAGGTACTCTACATGGCGGAAAGACTACTGTCAAGCTCTTCGGTGTCACCGAAAATGGCCACTCCGTGATGATGCACGTCACAGACTTCAAGCACTACCTCTACGTCGCTGCTCCCGTCTCCTTCACGCCCCAGGACTGCGAACCATTTAAAGCCTACCTTGAGAGTCAGCTATCCCAACTTCAACCTGTCATATATTCTTGCCAAATTGTCCTACGAGAGAATATATACGGCTTCCAAGGCAACACGCAAAGTCCATATATCAAAATCACCGTTACAGACCCAAAGCATATCCCGAGAGTGCGTTCGGCCTTCGAGAAAAATGAGGCAAATTGGAGGGGAATGTGGAAGGGAGTTGAAGGAGGAATAATGACGTTTGACAATCTACAATACGTTTTACGATTTATGGTTGACTGCAAGGTACGCGATTTATGATAACTATACAAAGGAGGCATACTGATCGTTGTAGATTCCTGGCATGTCATGGGTAGAAGCACCCGCTAAGTCATACCGTTTAATACCAGAGGGCCAGCGGCAATCAAGCTGTCAGATCGAAGCCGAGATTAGCTACCGAGACCTAATTTCCCACGAACCGAAAGGAGAGTGGTCTAAGATGGCACCTCTGCGGATTCTGTCCTTCGATATCGAATGCGCCGGGCGAAAAGGCATCTTCCCAGAAGCGAACCAAGACCCGGTAATCCAAATTGCGAACGTCGTAACTCGCTACGGAGAGAGCAAGCCCTTTGTTCGGAACGTATTCTGCTTAGATCGGACGAGCCCGATAGTAGCAACCCAGATCCTAGATTTCGAGAGGGAATCAGATATGCTTATGGCTTGGAAGCGATTTCTCGACAAAGTAGACCCTGACTTGATTACTGGTTACAACATTGCCAACTTCGATTTCCCATATCTACTTGATCGTGCCGATCACCTCAAGATCCAGGGTTTCGATTACTGGACTCGTCTGCCTAGTGTAAAAACCTTCTCCAAAAAAACGAATTTCTCGAGTAAGCAAATGGGAAATCGGGATACGAAGACCACGAACACGAATGGTCGACTACAGCTTGACCTCCTGCAATTGATTCAGAGAGATCATCATCTCAGAAGTTATACCCTCAATTCAGTGTGTTCTCACTTCCTAGGAGAACAAAAAGAAGATGTCCACTACACGATGATTACCGAATTATTTAACGGTACACCGGAGTCTAGACGTCGTCTGGCGCTGTATTGCTTGAAGGACGCCTACCTACCTCAGCGGTTAATGGACAAACTCTCCTGTCTTGCGAATTACACAGAAATGGCTAGGGTCACAGGTGTTCCGTTCAACTTCCTTCTTTCGCGTGGACAACAGGTCAAGTTCATGAGCCAGCTATTCCGGAAGGCCCTTGAGCAAAAGCTCGTGATTCCAAATATGAAATCAGAAAGCTCCGATGACCAGTACGAAGGCGCTACAGTTATCGAGCCTACTCGAGGTTACTATGACGTGCCTATCGCAACTCTCGATTTTGCGTCGCTATATCCCAGTATCATGCAAGCGCACAATCTTTGCTACACAACTCTTGTAAACAAGAAGGCGGTAGAGAAGTTCAACCTCAAAAAAGACGAGGACTATATTGTTACGCCTAATGGTGATATGTTCGTCACAGTTAAGCAGCGAAAGGGTCTTCTTGCCCAGATTCTCGAGGAACTGCTCTCGGCAAGAAAGCAGGCTAAAAGAGAATTAGCTGTCGAGACCGACCCTTTCAAGAAGGCCGTCTTGAACGGTCGTCAGCTCGCGTTGAAAGTCAGCGCCAACAGTGTTTACGGTCTTACAGGTGCTACAACTGGCAAGCTCCCTTGTCTCGAGATCGCCAGTAGTACCACAAGTTTCGGTCGACAGATGATTGAGAAAACCAAGGCTGAAGTAGAGAAGAAGTACAATATCGCAAACGGATATACCCACGACGCCCAAGTCATCTATGGTGACACGGATTCCGTCATGGTTAAATTCGGGACGAAGGACCTAGCCGAAGCGATGAAGCTCGGCGAGGAGGCGGCGAATTATGTATCATCAAAATTCGTGAAGCCCATCAAGCTAGAGTTTGAAAAAGTCTACTTTCCGTACTTGCTAATCAACAAGAAGCGATATGCGGGTCTCTTCTGGACGAGACCCGATAAGTTCGACAAGATGGATACCAAAGGTATCGAGACCGTCAGGAGAGATAACTGTCTGCTAGTACAGACCGTTATTGAGAAGGTTCTGAGGATGATCCTGATCGACCGGGATGTCCAGGGGGCCCAAGAGTACGTCTACTTCCTTAGTTTATAAACATTAACATACTGACCGATTTCACAGCTACGTCAAGGATACAATCTCGGATCTGCTTCAGAACAAGGTAGATATGTCTAAGCTTGTGATTACGAAAGCTCTCACCAAAGAAAGCTATGATGCGAAGCAAGCCCACGTCGAACTTGCACAGCGTATGAAGAAGCGAGATGCTGGTTCCGCGCCCGGGTTAGGTGACCGAGTAGCATACGTTATGGTGAAAGGTGCAAGCGGAGCGAGAAATTTCGAGAAGTCGGAAGATCCGATCTTCGTTCTAGAGAATAACGTGCCTATCGATACGAGATATTACCTCGACAACCAGTTAGCCAAGCCGCTCGGCCGTATCTTCGACCCTATCCTTGGAGAAACGAAGTCGAAGTCGCTCCTCACTGGTGATCATACCCGTTCCGTATCAGTAGCGGCGCCAACAGTGGGCGGTCTCATGAAGTTTGCAAAGAAGACCATGACATGTATGGGTTGCAAGAAGCCACTCGTGAGCAAAGAGGAAAGTGGTGGTGCTGTCTGCAAAGATTGTGCGCCACGCGTGGGTGAATTATACAAGAAGACACTGGACAAGGTATCCGATCTAGAAGTCCGATTTGGACGGCTGTGGACACAATGCCAGCGGTGCCAGGGTAGTATGCATGGCGAGGTCATCTGCAGTAGCAAGGACTGTCCCATCTTCTACATGCGCATGAAGGCGAAGAAGGACGTGGAAGACGGGAGCAAGGAGTTGAAGCGGTTCGATTTTGACCAATCTGCTATATGGTAACGATAAGATATTAGAGTCAAAGGCATCCACGAGCCCGGGAGAAGTCGGCGTTATGTCAAGGTTGTACGATTGTATGGAGTCCGGGTCGACGGTTTTATATTTATGGATGGCAAAGTGATATATAATAGTGCTTCGCAGACTCGAGCGCCACGGGAGAAGATACCATATACCTATTAACGTTGCAATTATAGTAAAGTTGTGCCATTTACAGGGGCTTTGGCAATGTTTGATCATGGCAATAACATTTTGTTATTAGACTACCATGTCCTTACCCAGATGTCTGGCCGAGAGGATCCGACTTCCCCTGAGTTGAGGTGTGTTCCTTCTACATAGAACAGATAGCCAGATGCCAAATACTCTTAGTCTACTAGTATCCCCATGATCCTGTTTCTAATTTATTGCTTCCTTTTCGCCAATATATACGATATAGTCAATCCATCATTCAGGACAAAATCAGTACTTCGAATTTGACGGGAATAGCACGCCTCTACTAATATTCTTGCCATCCCATTCTTTTACGAATATCCTTTGAAGCATTCTTGCTACAACCTCGAGACTACACATACTTGTTACTTCGATTCCAAGTAGCCCACGCAGACCAAAATGGTGATCAAGACAAGCGAGAAGGTGCTCATCACCGGGGCAAGTAATGTAAACACAATAAAAATCACCACCGCACAGTCCTAACGCGTATATCTTACCAGGTGTGTCTCCTCACCGCCCTCAACCTCGCAGCCCACTACCAGAACGAGCAGAGGGAAAGAATCCGAGCAGAAATGGACGTCCAGAGGGAAAAGCGTGTCGCAAGTGCTATAAGTGCAGCGCAAGTCCTCCCCCTATCTTTTTATTCGTGAGTGCAGATCTCGTATAGGTAACTAACCTAACTCCCAATGCTACAGTAATATGCTGCGAAAAACTTGTATGATGACTATCGCCCAGAGGCATAAACTTGTCCAGCAGCTTAACCGGATGGGGGAAATGTCGCCGTATACTCGTGAATTTCATAATGCGTTTGAGGGGCTGAGGCTTACTTTGATGGATCCTGTGGATGGGGATGGGGATGGTGAGGATAAGGATAGGGAGAAGGGTAATGGTAAAGGTGGTGGTGGTGGTGGTAGTAAAGGTGGTGGTAGTGGTGGTGGTAGTGGTAATGGTAAAGGTGGTGGTAGTGGTAGTGGTAGTGGTAAGGGTGGTGAGTGAGCGAGTGAATGAGTGAGAGAAGCCCCGAGGGCGTGGTACGTTGCTGGCGAAGCGAAGCTGGCGGTTTATTGGGTATAGCGGGATGATATGGTTACTTTGAAGCGGTGGTTTTAGATACTTTTTTTTTCCTTTGCTGGTATGGTTTCGATGTTGGTCCTGGAAGGTATTAGGTCCTATCAAGTTTATTGCTGGTTCTTATGTACTGACAACTTTACACGGGTGAGTGTTAATTAAACTATTAATTACTACTAGTTATTTTTCAAGTCCTCGGCTTTGATGCCATATAATCAATGCCATAAAGAATACTCGAAAATGACACACTTGTTAATATTAAGACTCCTTTGGAGTTTGGCGCAACTTGAATAAAAGCAATGCTGGTTTTGAAGCCATATCGATTGATCAAGGTTCGAAAGTTACTCCATAGTCAAAAATAAATTAGAAACTATAATCAGTAGAGTGGCTTACATCATAACCACACATCATGTAGATGGCAGCTACCTTTCAGCTACCTTAGGGAAAGTGCGATGAGCATTGTGCAGCGGGAATTCCTCAGATCGGAGTCAACGAGTCCCGTCCGAAACTTTCCCCAATACAACATTTCTCTCATCCTCGAATTACCAATCTCATCGACAACATCATCACGCTCTCTGGGATCGCGGGGGGTATCACGTCGTACACGTAGTAGCACGCCACCTTGTAAGATGATGCCGCGAGAATTGTCAGCACAGCTCTAACAACCATCACTGCAATAATTCACAGAATAGGCAAGTTGACTGAGAAGAGCTACCCGAGGAATAAAAAAAACCACAGGTTCCTGCCGTGGAGGTTTATATCAGTCTTGGTATATGCTAGCGTGCGAGTAATGTTTATACTAGTAACGTTTCAATCCTCGGGCTTTTTGAAGGCATGGTCTAACAAACTAGCCTAGTTAACTAGCACAAATACCGGTGTCGAAAGTGAGGGGTTCTTCTCAAGGTCATCTCGAACAAACGCTCGACTCAAACACTCGACTCCTTGGCTGCCAAGAGATACGGATCCGTATGCTCGTAGCTTAAAAGTCGTATGAGCTTCGCTCGCGGTTAGTTTTCGTAGCCATGTTCAATATGAAATTAGACAGAGCCTGATCCGAATTACTCCGGTCGTGGGACATCTCGGCCAAATAGCTTTTTGACGCTAGTCGGCGCAACTTTGGTAGCTATTACGCAACATATATGCATTGGAGAGATGCTACTGGATCGAAATTTCCGCGAGATGCATGTCTTGCAGGGTCCGCTCTCATTCCTAGTCGTCCCAAGCCCTTGGCAGGGTCGTTCCGCGAACGGCGGCTGGGGGATTCCATGTTCGACAGATTTCAACCGTGGAGATCTACCTATCGAATCTGTCAGCGAACATTTAAATTGACGTGAATATTGTTGTCGTCGCAAACTCAACTGACGAATCATCGTCCTTTGATAAGATGCCGCACATCTGTGGCGAAGCTTAAACTTCTTCGCTTCTCTGGGTTTGATCCCTACCCTGCCGTAGCCTACCGTAGCCTACCGTAGGGCAACGGAACCTGACTCTATGGTTGGTTGATTCTCTCCCAGGCTTACGATTCAGCTCATAGTTCACACATTTCCCCCACAGAGGAACCACATGGCTTCGGAGTAGCCGCCACGAACTCCGTCACCGCTCTGCTGCTCGCATGCGCATCTTGACTTCAAAGAGCACGTGCTACGGTGTTTTACGGTGGTTTCTTTTTTTTCGCTAACGAAAATTTGTGCGGGCATCGAAAAATATAGCCCCGTCATTATTATGTAGCTAACCCAGCAGTTTCTGGTGAAGATGACCGCTCGGCTTCCGGAAGTTGGTCTATTGTACCGTGCATAGTACGAACATCAGCGAGCGGTCCTTGGTCCTCGCCGACAACGCTCTGAACTTAGAGGTTGGGTATAATCTCCAGGATATGGATCTGCGTTGACTAGATTGAGGCATATATCTTGATCTCATCCAACGGGCCAACAATTGCCTCAGTCAGACAGGGGCAAGGCCAGAATAATATCAAGGTAAAAAGAAAAAAATCAGCCGGAATCGTTCTTTGTGGCCTAGGCCCCCCACACCTTTCTCCCCGGACAGGCGAGGCTACATACAATTTTACCTTCTCCCATTAGCGAAAGATTGTGGTCATCCAGGTCAAGGCTCGGGTTGCCTGGCGTGTCTCAGGTATCGAGGGCCACCTTTATACAATGGCAACGTCTAGTCAAACCCTTGATCGGCATGTTCACCACTTAATCGTTTAGTCTAGAGGAGCACCGATGACGGTGTTTTTCCGTCTTGCCTTGCTCGAGCGGGAGGTCCATATAATGCCTCCCCTTCCCTCAATTCTGATATTTTCTTGACTCTTCCAAAGTAGAAAAATAAAGTTCGCACTTCTGACGACTCGTTCACGGGAGGCATATTTCCTATTCGTTTATATTAGCGTCGTGCCAGACACAGTTTAAGATACCCAATTTTGCTGATACCCCCCTCTCATAAAAACAATTATACCCAGACTTAAGTCCGACGTCGTAACCATGTCTCACCTTCCCGCCGAGCCCGAATTCGAGCAGGCCTACAAAGGTAAAGAACCAAAAATAACACGGCTGGTAGATGCCGACCTGGACTAACACGAGAGACAGAGCTTGTGGCTACCCTCGAGGAGAGCTCGCTGTTCCAGCAGCATCCCGAGTACAGGACCGCGTTGAAGGTCGTTTCTATCCCGGAGCGTGTCATCCAATTCAGAGTCGTCTGGGAAGATGACAAGGGTAACCTGCAAGTGAACCGCGGGTACCGCGTCCAGTTCAACTCGGCTCTTGGCCCGTACAAGGGTGGCCTGCGATTCCACCCTACCGTCAACTTGTCCATGTAAGAAGACCTCTTACCTAAAACGGCAATAGTCAATTTCAACCGAACCAGTCCTACTAACATGAGTGCCTAATAGTCTGAAGTTCCTCGGCTTCGAGCAGATCTTCAAGAATGCCTTGACAGGATGTAAGTTTGCGCTCGCGATAGAGAAGAATTGAGCATTGCTAACGATGGCCCGTCTTAGTGAGCATGGGTGGTGGAAAAGGAGGTGCAGACTTCGACCCCAAGGGCAAGAGTGACAATGAGATCCGAAGATTCTGCGAGGCCTTCATGCGAAGGCTTTGCCAGCACATCGGCGCCGAGACTGACGTCCCCGCTGGTGATATCGGCGTCGGCGGCCGAGAGGTTGGATACATGTTCGGCACGTACCGCAAGGAGAGGAACAAGTGGGAAGGTGTTCTCACCGGCAAGGGTCTCTCTTGGGGTGGTAGCTTGATCCGACCAGGTAAGCGCCGACACCGCCGTCGAGCTGCTCAGAAGAACATACGAAGCTAACAATTTTTGAACAGAGGCTACCGGTTACGGTCTCGTCTACTACGTCGAGCACATGCTCAAGTACGCCGGCAAGGGCAGCTTCAAGGGGAAGCGCGTTGCTATCTCTGGATCCGGAAACGTTGCACAATACGCTGCTCTGAAGTGCATCGAACTTGGCGCTACGGTCGTGTCTCTGTCCGACTCGAAGGGCTCCCTGATTGCCGAGGGCGACGCGCACTTTACCCCTGAGCACATCAACGAAATCGCCAACATCAAGCTCGAGCGCAAACCTATCACCGAGTTCAGCGGCAAGTCGCAATTCAAGTACATCGAGGGCGCGCGCCCCTGGGTGCACGTCGGCAAGGTGGACATCGCGCTTCCGTGCGCGACGCAGAACGAAGTTAACAAGGAGGAGGCCGAGACGCTAGTTAAGAACGGTGCGCAGTTCGTCGCCGAAGGGTCCAACATGGGTTGCACGCAGGATGCGATCGACGTGTTCGAGGCCGTTAGAAAAGAGAAGGGCAACGACGCCATCTGGTATGCGCCGGGTAAGGCGTCCAACGCCGGCGGTGTGGCGGTTTCCGGTCTTGAGATGGCGCAGAACAGCAGCCGTTTCAGCTGGACGCAGGAGCGTGTCGACGAGCGCCTTGCCCAGATCATGAAGGGTATCTTCGACCAGAGCATCGAGAATGCCAACAAGTATGTCGAGACTAAGGAGGGCGAGCTGCCTAGCTTGGTCGCTGGAGGCAACATTGCCGGTTTCCTTAGGGTCGTTCAGGCTATGCACGACCAGGGCGACTGGTGGTGAGCTGCCTGACGTGGCTGTCAGGCACGACGTATTAGTTGGATTATAGTCCGCCCATCACGTCGAAGGATTCACGTCTCGACGGGTGAGTCGCTGGACGATCGTCGGATTCGCGGTTGGGGGCCGTCGCGATGTCATGTCTCCGTGCATGCAGGGGGCCGTTCAGAGCCGGCGGATCACATTGCGTTATCGAGGAAGGAATGCCTTAGCTAGGTGCGGGCATGGGGGAACTTGGCGTGGCGTAGGGCAGACAGCTGGATGGATTGATAACTGGCTGGCTGGCGGGTTACGATACAATGTATGATATGATTACCAAGGAATAGCTGTGCCTTTCTCGGGCGAATAGGGCGCTCGGAGAGCTGGGCATTGGGGATCGTATGTAGGACATGAAAACGAACGAAACGAACTTTTATGAACAAGCAAGATGTTGACTCTCGTATTCGACTAAAATTACCCAAGGCAAATTGGCCAGAGAGGGAAAAGAGACGATGTGTGTTGGAGTAGATGTCAAATGATATCACACAAACGTCCTACGGCTGCTGCTATATGGGTGCTGAAGGAGGCCTGGAATGGGACCGGATGAATGACGATCATTGTTAGGTATGTAGGTAGGTAGGTAGTATTTTTGCAACTCTCCACGTTTAGCGATGGGAATACTACATTTCTCCCTCCCCCCTCCCTCTCTATCTATATACATGCATTTTATCTTCATGTATTATGATATATGCATGCAGCGGAGGTGCATATACCAAGATTCAACCTATATACTGCCATTGGACGAGTTTAAACCCCGATGCAATGCTACGGCGGGATAGGACGGGGCGGGAGCGGTTGGATCACCGACCCGGACGAGGTGGTATTAAGGACTTTGTTTTTTTCAGCTAGCTACCTATCTGTATCTTTTATCTTTATGATGGGAAATATGTGCTAGGTCACGATATGTGGCCTGCGGAGTTGGAGAGTGGAAGTGAGTGCTTTCATGTATGAATGATGGACCCGGACGGAAAGGGGGTCGACGGGGGCGAATGAGCTTGTTTATGGGATTGAGTCTTAGCCTAGGTATGTATTTTGAAGATGGAGGATAGTAGTAGTCCGGGTATTCGATATCTATCTCATATAAATGTTATGTGACATGGGCTATACCCGACAACGTCGAGACATCCGATATTGATATTATCTTGTATAGTTCGTCGGTATATCGCGCTGCGGCGGACCCCGGTGCCGAACGCGATCCTATTCCTACTACATACTACCATATCATTCCCAGGTCCTTTGTCTCATAGGTAGACAAATTACTACGTCTGTCTGCCTATCACCTACCGAGACCAGGTCGCCTATACGGCCGGGGCAGAACAGGAATCATATCATATCATATATATACGTAAATCCGCGTGACCAATCCGCGTGACCACGCCGCGTCGTCATATCCAGATCGGTTGTAGATACCGATGCTGTGCAGTTAATGTACGTTGGTGGTGGCTCGTACGTAGGTACCTACCTACATACGGGTGGCGAGAAAAGGGATCCCGGGGCTCTGGACGAGGTGAGACAAGGCAAGGCGAACCGACCGGTTGGAGAGGTGGGGATTTGTATGTAGGTACGTTCCTCAGGGCTGCCATGTGAGAAATCTCACTCGCAATCTAAATTGACCTGGATCTCGGGTCCCTGGTCGTTTACGAAAGGCCGGCATCGTCCCTTTTTTTCTTGCTTACTACCTATTTCCCGGGCCTTAAAGGTGTGCATATCTTCAGCGGCAGGTTACTCGGTAAAGGCTGCCCCCCAAGTCAGACGGCGTTATTAATAGCGGCCAATGAAGGGGCCTCTTACTAATTCCACGCCTTCCGCGATACGGTTCTTAGTTGGATTTCCTAATACACTAATTTTACTCTCCGTCCCCAGATAATTCGAGGGGCGAAGAGGGTGAGTGGCGGCGGTATCTACGACGAATGATGAAATTCTCCGCGGCCCCGGTGCGACCAACGTAATACTTAAATCCTTTCCGATCGGAATCTAACCGAGTCCTAGGGCTGTTTCGACGGAACTGGGCTACGTCGACACGCGCTTACCTACACTTGCACGAAGTGGGCTGACGGGATCGTACGGTGTTGTTATATTGTAGATTCACGTTTACGGGAACCCGCAGGGCATGATCTTGCGCCGGGATGTCGCGAATGGCGGACGGGATGATGCCGGCGACACTTATGCAACTGTGCTACACCGGACGGTAAGTTAGAGTATCTCTACCAAGTTGATCGAAGCACAAGATAAGATGGAGGTGATGGGGCAGTGCTATTATGACGCGCTTATCAGATAAAAAGCACAGCTCTGTTCGTACTCGCGGGGTGGGTTTCACGACTGTTCCTCTTTTTGGGCACCGGGTCTCCAGCCTCTCTGCGGTGTTGTAGCGTACCTGCAGTCTACGCTGCGTATGGCATATGAGGTAACCAATGTAGGTACCTGTAGGGATGCAGCAGCCGGTCAAAAATAGCAGACTCAGATATTGTCTAATGGCATAAGAAGCACCGACGGAAAACTCGATACGAATTCCAGAAGCCTTGGCTGACCAATTCGAAAAGGAGAATCTCGTAAATTGACCCGTCTTAGTGGAATGACGATAATTTCCAGATTCAGTCCCGTAACCTTGAAGAATTGCCGTTTAACTGAGGTATGTTGGCAGGGAATATCAGCGTGTTAAAGAGAGTGTTACGCTTAACTCGATAGGATATCGTCATACAGGAGAAATCATCGTTACGAAGAAATTGATTTTCGACCGGCAACCAATTATAATTCTTGATCGGGAAGACCTTTTAATAGGATCGGAAACGGAAATGCAATCCAACGTCGTCTGCAAGCTAAGTTAGCCACGTTCCTCCACAAACTCGCAGCCCCGGCGCTCGCGTTTCATTCGCTAACGGCAGCGAGCTGAGTCAATTCCACGAACGGTCTACCGCTAGTTCTGACGGACAGGGGGGAAGTGGATGGGGTCGGGCACCCGCAAGACTGGCGTCGCATATTCTGATGCTATGTTCCTATCATCTCAGCGTCACCCGGCCATCAAAGAGACCACTCATTTGTACTTGAGACCGAGGGACCGATGCCGATCTGACATAGCCTGCGGCCTCCAAATGTCGATTACAACCACATATGCTGAGAGAAATAATTTCCTTTCAGCCGTGTAACCGGCGACTGTTTTCAGCTACGCAATATAATGCTCGGTCTCTTTCTGATATGTATTCATAGCCGGAACTAGTACTATGGTAGTATCAATCTCGATGAGCGGGCGCGGTGGCGCCGGGTTGGTACTAATAGTAGGTATGTATAAGTCTTTATTTGTTCGTTTCGCGCATGTTACCTCCCGATTAGGTATCGATTGGTTCAGCCCTACGTCTTGGCTAAGTATTGGGTTAGGATCGCCATTATATCGTTCCAATCCAAGCGAGTTTGCAATGAGCTGTGACAGAGTTTACCGTTTTGCCATTGTGTTACTGGGTAATCTATTGGTTGCTTCTGAATATGGGCTCGTTATTGTCTTTTTTTGTGGTTGAAAGCACAAAAGGGGTTGAGAAAATACCACGCATTCCTTTGTTGGTATTATATCGGCGACAGCGAAGAAAGTCGCAGTATGATATATCGGTAAGCTTGACCGTTGAGTTTACCTGGGTCCGCCAATGCTTGGAACGTAAGTCGTGATGACCAATGTCTCCGGTATTATCCAGTATTTTGGGAAACAACGGGAAAGGCGGTCGAATAACCTCCATATAATTGTATACTCTTGTCCGTGTAGTGACTGTGCCGCCCACGCAGTTTTGAACTCTTGTTAGACTTATGTAGGTAGTTGTCTCATTTTTTCTTAAAGTCGTATAGCGTATTTGTCTTAGCGAAGTTAGCACCTCGAGCTTGGGTGAAAGATAGGTAGCTATCTTCCGGACCGTGTCGTTCATTGGCCAATTAGCAATCCCGATTTCGATATGTTGATAACGAAAAAAGAAACGGACCTCTTCACCATTGCCTATTGGACGACAGCATCCCTTGCATGTTTTTGTCCAGAGCCCCGGTTCGTTATTCAGCTAGAGGGTAAAATCCAGGGGAGGAAAACCGTCGCCCTGGATCTGGATCAAAGGCCGACGGGAATGCCCGTTTAGGGCTACTGGGTACTGGGTACGACGCACTGACAACAATAGTTCCAAAGCATCCGTAACAGCCGAATAATAAATGGCCATCTATAATATTCAGGTCAAATTTATATAGTATAATGTCTTTATGAACAGAGCTCAGAATGTGGCGGTTCCGTCGACTACGGCGCTTAATATTGAAACAAGATTTAAAATATTGTATTGCACGAAGTAACACACCATAAAATAGGTAGTTACAACTACAAAGTTCTTGCTGACCAGGGACTTGTGTGGGGAAGTCACATGTCTCCTTTACGTACTATGTAGATCCGGGTAGACTTGCGATACCGTATTCCCGTAATTCCTTATATAGAAGAAATCCACTTTTTATCTTAGGTGATTGCCTATAATGATTACTATACAAGGTACATACATGTAAGTGCTGACTTTACGTGGATACCACATACATTAGCGTCAGTATATAAGATCCCAGGACCGTATTGATACCGTAAATATATGATTTATATATATGAATGGTTCCGCGACTCAGTACGAAAGA